TCAAGGGTCCCAGAGTTCCTCCTGTCTCAGCTTTCTGATTACTTGCTACTACAGGCAATGATCTCTTTTAAACTGCAAAGATATAGCCTTTAGATTTTTGGTCATAAAGAAATAGACTGAGCTGGACAGTGGTAGCTCATGACTTTAATCCCAGCATTCAGGAGACAGAGACAGGCAGATTTCTGAGTTCAAGGATAGCCAGGGATATACAGAAAAACCTTGCCTGGAGAAAGGAAGAAAGAGAGAATGGGGGTGGGGGTAGAACAGAAAGTGGCCAAAACTCTTTGATCAAGATAGAAGGTTCAAATACAGCTGGCAAAATAGAAAGTGTCAGCCTGGCAGTGGTGTCACAGGCCTTTAATCCCAACACAACGGAGGCAGAGGCAGGCAGATCTGGGAGTTTGAGGCCAGCCTGGTCTACAGAGTGAGTTTCAGGACAGCTTGGGCTACACAGAGAAATCTCTTGAAACAGATGAACAAAGGAGAGACAGAGAGAGAGAGAGGGAGAGAGAGAGAGAGGAAAGAAGAGGGGGAAGGAAGGAAGGAAGAGAAAGAAAGGAAGGAAGGAAGGAAGATAGGAAGGAAGGAAGGAAGGAAGGAAGGAAGGAAGGAAGGAAGGAAGAAAGAAAAGTTCCTGCCCCAGAGCGATTTCCATGCAGCCAGCAAGGGTTGCCCAGACAGAGCTCAGCCCACACCTTCTGTCCTTACTCAGGCTCCACCCCTGTAAGTCCTCCCTCTTTCGATTCCTTTGTCTCCACTCGGTGGCCCCAGCACTCTGATTCGCTTTTCGAGGATACGTGTCCAAACTCAGCATTTCGGAAGAAGGCAGAGTTTTATTTGGTCTGTTATGGGTTGCCTGGTGACAGCCGTGATGGGTCACTGCGGCAGGAGCTTCAGGAGTTAAGTTGAACAATAAGGTTTTCAAGGCAAGGCTTGTCTTGTCTTGTCTGTTGGCGCATACACGCTTATTCTTAGGGCCACTGAGAGCGCACTGACAGAGGTCAAGGAGACCAGAGTTGTTGCAGCAGGATGCCCTTAGAGTTGTGGTTGCATGACCTGAGCAGAAGTACCTAGTAGTTTTGGAGAGTGTCTACACCTAGAGTGACAAACTCCTATGACCTTTGCTAAGCTTACTTCTAAATTAAGGACAACCTTTCCACAAGATTTGCTCCCTGCCAGGTGCTCTCCTTGAGGGCTCTACACTACACCTCACTGATCCTTCATAACCACCTTGCAGGCCTGTTGTAGCGATCCGCTTGACCTGACCACAATGGGGGCTTAGAAATTGCTTTTGCTAAACAATGGACCCCTGGCACTCTGGAGGCAGAGACAAGCAGGTTTTTTTGTTGTTTTGAGAGACCAGCCTGGTCTGCACTGTGAATTCTAGGCTATACAAGGCTACATAGTGGGGCTCTGTTTCAAACATCACCCCGGGGAGCTCCTCATCTGGGCCAACAAAGCAAGCTAAAGGCCTGGTATTCCTGCCTGATTTTTCATCGATCTCCTTTGCCTTAAACATTTATGTCAGACATCTGCTTAACCCTTAGACATCTTAGTCACTTCAAGAATATCTGCCCTCAAAGGAGTTGGGAATGTAGTTTAATTGATAGGGTGTTTGCCTGCTGTGCAGAAAACCCTGGGTTTGATCCTAGACAATCCAAACAAAACAAAACAAAACAAAACCAGAAGCATTATAATCCCATTTCCCTGGATGTGGAGGTTGGAGGATTAGAAATTTAAAGTCATCCTTAGCTACACATTTAGTTAGAGATCTGCCAGCCCGGGCTACTTAAAACTGTATTAAGAACAAACAAAACTTTAGAAAATGTGCTTGAAGCTCTCTCTCCAGTTATTGCTGCAAACTTGCAAGTCACCTTGGCTTCCAGCAGCAGTAGCAGAAGCGCTTCACACATCCCAAGATGAGAGCACCCTGAGCCAGACTGTCTCCTCAAGCAATAATCTTACCCTGCAGACCTAGAATTGAGTCATATCTCCTAACTCTCTGTTCCAATTCTTCCTTTGTGTAAACCTGAATGTCCACATTCCGAAGATGGGCTGAGGTGCTTCTAATTCTCTTACTAATACAGTTATATTAATTAAAATCCCTTACTGCCCTTTCTGTTTATTTATTTGTTTGTCTGTTTGGTTTGGCTTGGTTTTTTTCGAGACAAGAGTTTCACTGTGTAGTCCTGGCTGTCCCGAACTCACTATGTAAACCAGGCTGGCCTCAAACTCACAAAGATCCATCTGCCTCTGCCTCCCAGGTGCTGGGATTAAAGGCGCCCAGCTTTATTTTATTTTTGAGTCATAGTCTCATGCAGCACAGACTGGCCTTATGCTTATAGCAATCTACCTGCCTCAGACTTTAGTGCAGGGACAACAGATGTGAGCCACTGGACAGGAAGAAAGCTTATTCATTTCTTTGTTTATATATTTATTTGAGACAGGGTATCACCATGTAGTCCTGGCTGGCCTGGAATTTACAGAGATCTGCCTGTCTCTGCCTTCCTGGTGCTGGAATTAGTGTGCACTATCATACCTGGGCAAGGAAGATATTTCTTTAAAATGCCATACTCAGGCCAGGTGTGGTGGAGTGTGCAGCCCATTTGCACATGCCCCCATGCCTCCTTCTGTGCCCTTGTCCTTGGGGTAGAGAAATAGGACCCCACTCAAAGGAAGTTTCACCAGCAGAGGGTGGTTTTAGCTAGAGATGGGTGGGAGAGAACAAGCAGGCTCAATTGGAAGAGGGAAGATATCTAAGAGGAATGTGACTGGTGGATGGGGACTGGTGAGAGAAATCAGAGCCATGGATTTGGAACCACCTGGCTCCAGGAGAGAGGATATCAATTCACTGTGAAATCTCTTTCCCACTTGGCCTCACCCACCTTCCACACTACTTTAGAGAGCTCTTTTAACAACAACAAAATCATAGTCAGACCTGGTGGTTCACATGTGTGATCCCAGCTGCAGGCAGTTTTCCTGTTCTGTCCTGGCAACTGTTTCCCAAATAAACAACCCTGAGGCTTAATATGAATTATACATGCTCGGCCAATAGCTCTTACACTTACATTAACCCATATTTCTTATCTATGCTTTGCCATGTGTCTTGGTACCTTTTCTCAGTATGGCATGTCCATTTTGCTTCTCTGTCTCTCCTCGAGACCCTTCTAACTCCACCCCTCTTCCTCTCTGTTTCAGGCTATCTTGCCCAATCTCTTCCTGCCCAGTTATTGGCCAATCACCTTTTTTCTTTTTTTTTTTAAACAATGAGAGCAATATATATTTATAGTGTACAGAAGGATTATTCTACAGCACCAAGCATTTGGGAGGCTGAGACAGCCTGGGTTACACAGTGAGTTCCAAACTAGCCTTAGCTACAGACTGTGCCTCTATCTCAAAAAAAAAAAAAAAAAAAAAAAAAATCTTTTCACAGCAATAGAAACTGTAGCTAAGACAGGCCTCATGACCTTGGCAACTGACATAAAAGAAAGTATTTGATTGGGGCTTACTAACAGAGGTTTAGTCCTTTCTCATCATGGTGGGGAACGTGGTGGCATGCAGGCATGCATGGTGCTACAAGAGGGAGCTGAGAGTTCCACATCTGGATCCACAGGCAGCAAGAAGAGGGAGTGAGACACTGGGCCTAGCTTAGGCTTTTGAAACCCCAAAGCCCACCCTTAGTGACTCACTTCCTCCAACAAGACCACACCTACTTCAACAAAGCCACCCTCCTAATCCCTCTCAAGCAGTGCCCTTCCCTGATGACCAAGCATTCAAGTTTAGGAGGACATGGAAACCATTCTTATTCAAACCACCACAATTTCCCCCTTTTAGAAAAAACTGAATTCTCATGTAGCTAAGCCTAGCCTTGAACTTCCAGTATTCCTCCCACTTCATTCTATGGAGTAGTCTACCTGCTTAAGGAGATCATTTTCCATTCAGACCATCTTCATGTGGGGATTCAACAGGTCCTGGGCCAGTGTGACTAGTCCTTTTGAGCCCAAGCACTGGTCTAGGCTTCCAGCACTGAAGAAAGAAAATAAAATGGTTGCCTTTAGCTCTTAGCTTTTGGGATGAGGCACACACAGTAAGTATAAATGTAAGAGGAGGGAAATCAGCCAGTGATGGGTATGTTAGAGAAAGGGCCATGCTTCTTAGAGATCTCTGCTGACAACTGAGGATGAAGATATTATGGGAGACACTTGGCTGTCATTAGGAAAGAATGTTTTATAGAGGCTGAGCTGGAGAGGGCCCTAAACGTGGACCTAGCCTGTTAGGGATGAAGAGGGAGGTTGGCGAGAGAGCTGGGAAGCAGACTTCTTCCCCAGGACACTTCCAACTGCTGGGCTTAGACTTGAGGGAAGCTGAAGATGGTAAGGCCGCCATGGTTACCTGAGATGCTACCCTTGGAGTGGGGAGAAGAATAGCTAGTCCTAGGCACTGGTGGAGGTCAGACCCCTCAAAGCATCTGGGGAATGAGATCAGGAATGCACTGAAGTTTGGCCTGAGGTGGGAATGATTTACCTGCTTTTAAGGGGGAGGGAGGGAGGGAGGGAGGGAGGAAGAGAGAGAGAGAGAGAGAGAGAGAGAGAGAGAGAGAGAGAGAGAGAGGTTGTTGTTGCCATTTCAGCTAGGACTTTTGAGCTTGAGATGGTGTTGCCATGGTGGTGTCCAGGGGATATTTGAATGTCAGTGTTGGAGTTATACAGATGCTTAGGGGGGGAGAGAGAGAGAGAGAGGTTGTTGTTGCCATCTCAGCTAGGACTTTTGAGCTTGAGATGGTGTTGCCATGGTGGTGTCCAGGGGATATTTGAATGTCAGTGTTGGAGTTATACAGACGCTTAGGGGTTCCCACTGTGGAGCCATTCGCTTGAATACAATTATCAGGGGAAGAAAATTTCTCAGAAGCCAGAAAAGACTCATGGCAAAGGCAAAGCACCCTATGGCTCTGAGGCAGGAGACTTGGAGGCCCTCTAGTGAGCCAGAGGGGCCACCGGTGTCATGAACCTCCTGGCCGCAGGCGGCAGCAGCGAGCAGTGGAGCCGGTACAATGTAGCAGTGGCAACCGAGTACAGTGTAGCCTGCCGGTCCGGTACAATGTAGCGGCAGCCAGGTAAGCGTCGGAGCGGCCTCCGCAGGCGACCAGTGGGTCTGGTGGGGAAGCAAGCAAGGGTACAGATCTTAGCACGTAATCGTCACGGGCCGAACTCCGGGATCCAGTTTCTGTCGCGCGCACCGAGGTAGCAGAACTGGTAGAGGCCTCAAGCTAGACGTCCAGCTCCCGGCTGCCGCCTGCTGGCTCTCCGCTTTGTGCAAGGCCTCGGTGACCTCATTGGTCCCCGCATTACGTGGGGCAGAGCTTATTAGCATCCATAGATGGGGACCCCCGCCCCTCCAGTCCCCCGGGTGACAGTCAGAGGCTGTGTGTGGGACTCCCGACCCAAGGACCACAGGGCTGTCCGCCCTCTTGCGGTGTTGGGCTTTTCTGAGCCTTCGGTTTCACAGCTATGAAATAGGCGAGGAATGTCGTACAAACCTGCCCCAGTGAGGACAGGAACATTCTCGAAATGAATTCATATTGTAAAGGGTAGAAGTGTGAGGCGCACTGCTCGGGTGGCTTCGCTGCATCTGTTTGGGTAGTTGACAATGGTTAACACTGGCCCTGATTGGCCCGTATTTCCCGTCCATTCTTGTTACAGACATGAGCAGATAGGATGTATCTTGTCAATTTCCAGGGCCTCTTGTGGTCCTTGGACTAGCACTTTTGGTGGCTGAACCCACAGTAACACATGAGAGGCAGGTTCTTGGTATCAGGAACACGTCCTGAACTTTAACCTATTACTTCTGATGCGTCCACAGACCCTCGATCTTTTCCTCTGAGGATTTCAGTTGTCGAATTGTGATTAATATCTGCTTTGGGAGAGGGCTCTGCAGGGGTTTTATGGAATAGAGTTTTGTTTTGTTTTCCCCTTTCTTGAATCTTTTCCTTGAAGCCAACCATGAATTCTGGGTGCAGAACTCTGTGAGATAGGTGGGGTTATAGGAGATGGTGTCATACTAGAAGCCAGCTGTTGCTTCCAGCAGCCTGTGTTGGGATGTTGTCTATTTGTTCTCTGTTGTCAGGGCAATATGATTCTCCAAACTGGTTCCAGACAAACTAGGCAGACAGGTCGAATGGCTCTGTTGTCTAATTCATCCCTTACTTTTGTTCCAGAGCAGGTGGTGGCAGAGCCAATCGGGAAATGGCTAAGGAAACCATTTTCTTGGGAAAAGTAGCTCAAAGGAGGGTTGCTGGCAAGTATTCTTGCCAAGGTCTTTGTGACCCTCTGACTATATTCTAAAGCATCAGGAGGTTTTCAGGGAAGGCTTCTTGGAGTGGTTCCTGCACTCTCCACCCAGCTCCTTTTAGATTTCACTGGTCACCCTGTGATGTCAGTGACTGCTCATCAGCAACTAGACTGCCTACTCATCCTTCCCTTCTACCCTGGACTACTCCCCAGTTTCCAAGCAAGAGAACAGAGTCATATATTGATTCATTTTATTTATTATTATTATTTTGGTTTTTCAAGACATGGTTTCTCTGTGTAACAGCTCTAGCTGTCCTGGAACTTGCTCTGTAGATCAGGCTGGCCTCGAACTCACAGAGATCCGTCTGTTTCTGCCTCCCGAGTGCTTCCAATAGCAATGCTACGCACGAGTTTGTTTCTGCCTTGCTTGACTGAAACCTAGTAGTGAGCAGCTCTAGGCTCGGTGGAATCGCTTTAGAGCTTGGCAGTCCTCATTTGTGGCTTCTGCTCTAGCTCAAGGTGCTTGTGCCAGCTTCACCCATTACATCTGCATTCCAGACAGAGGAGGGAGGTCGGAAGAACAATTCTGAGAAGTCCTGAGTGATCTTCTTGCTCATGTTCTATTGATCAGAACATAGTCACATTACCATGCCTCAGTGCAGGGAAGACTGGGAACTCATGTGACAATGATGACTCCTCACTCAGGATGAAGGGGTGAGTGAACACTGGGGTACTTTCATCTCTCCTGCACCTTAGGATTCTTGGGAGGTGCTGGGCATTAGTTGGGGACAGCTGACGGTAGTACACTGTTTGACTTACTGGACGTCGTTATCCCAGGGCACCTGCACCCCCTTAGGCCAGTGGTTCTCAACCTTCCTAATGCTTCAGCCCTTGAATACAGTTCCTCATGTTGTTGTAACACACCCCCACCATAAATTTATTCTTGTTGCTACTCCATAACTGTAATTTTGCTACTGTTCTGAATCATAAGGTAAATATCTGATATGTGACCCTTGTGAAAAGGTCATTCAACCCCCAAAGGGGTCAAGACCCACAGGTTGAGAACCACTGCCTTAGGCCTTCAGTTAGCATCTGGTAGTTCTTATCACTATCCTCCCTCAACGAGACAGAGCCAGCAGGACTTGACCTGCAGGCATTTGGAGAACCTGGCTTTGGAGGAGGCCTCTGCTGATGTTCAGAGGGGCCATCAGTACAGGGTCCCACTCTAAATAATGAGGAGTGAGCAGGACCAGCCACTCTGGACTTGGAGCTCTTATTTTTCTTTCAAGGGAAAGAGCAGGGAAGGAGTTATTGTCTTTTTATTTATTTATTTATTTTTTTGGTTTTTTTTTTTTTCAAGACAGGGTTTTTCTGTATAACTTAGCTGTCCTGGAACTCACTTTAGACCAGGCTAGCTGGAACTCACAGCGATCCACCTGCCTCTGCCTTCCGAGTGCTGCGATTAAAGTCGTGCACCACCACGCTTGTTGTGCATAGTGCCTGTGAACTAATTTCACCAACAGTGCAACCCACCCACCTCTGGATGAGGGAACAGGGGCAGAGAGAGGCTATGGAATGTGGCCCGACTAGATAAGTGCAGAACTGCATTCCAGCTGCTTCTGTTTTATTCTGGTACAGCCCTTCCCTTTTTGCCCAGAGCCACCAGCTTTGTATTCCCAATGTGGGCTGAGCTCTAGGGAGGGGAAATCGTGCCAGTGATCAGGACTTCTGAAGTGGGAAACTAAACACTTTCTGTTACATGGGATCCCAGGGCAGGAAGCTATGGGAATAACTCAGCCCATATGGTTCTGAAGCAGGACTGGAATGCAGGCCCAAGAGGTACAGGCCCATACCAGAACCTAGACGCATTGCTGGGACCAGGGAGGAGCATAGGTCACCTGCCAGTAGCAGGACAAGGATGGGCCTTGGATTTGGCTCTAGAGAATTCACTGGTGAACACTCTAGCAGGGATGGTATTTTTGGGTGCTCTGATTCATATGGAACACCTCAAGTAAGGTGACAGGAAGGAAGATCCAATTCCAAGAGGTGTGTCTCATAGGAACAGGCTAGCAGCAAGGGCCCGGCTGGACTGGGACCAAGTGAGAACTTTGCCATTTGAGGCCTAGCAAGGAGCCCACTGGCCAGCTCCAGAGCTAGCGCCCTTCAGCATCTGGGGCCAAAGGAGCCCCTGCACAGAAGAGCAGGGCCTTGGATTTCAGACTTTGCATCTGGCACTCTGGGATAAGCCTGTATGCCTGGGCTAGCCTGCCTCAATGGGGGTTCTTCTGAGAGAACAGTGCCCATGGAGCCTGGTTAGAAGTAGCTAAAGTAGCCTGTGGGGAGGATAAAGATTCAGGCTGCTTGGCAGGGCTGCCCCGCACTATCCCCCAGGCTCTGGGAAGGGAAAGAGACAGGAAGCACTGGAGAAAAGGGGTGAGCCATTGTGAGCCTGTGGCCTGGGCACTCATACAGCCATGCTGCACCCTGCAGGTGGGATGCTATGGAATATGATGAGAAGCTGGCTCGGTTCCGGCAGGCCCACCTCAACCCTTTCAATAAACCGCTTGGACCAAGGCAACATGAACTGGAGCCCAGTGAGAAGGCCCAAGAAGTCACTTCTGAAGGTGAGCACTGTGCAGGGTGAGGGCTGTATAGACTGACACATATACCAACCCCACCACTCTTTCTGCCTGTGGCCCCTCCCATGGGTGGGAATAGTCACTTTCCACCTGCTCTAGGGTTCTCTTTTGCCTTCCTTACCAGAATGAACACTCTAGAGGGCAGGGATCTGAGTCTGGGGAATCACAGTAAAGTCCCAGGGTCCCACACAGTATTGCTTAGTGAGCACTTGAGCAAACTCAGAGCCAAGTTCTAGGGAGAAGAGTCCAATGGGTGGGATGTCCAAGGATAGACCCTCACCTTCTTAGGGTCAGAAAGGGAGCAGGGCAGTCATTTTGGATAAGGTAGTTAGAGTCTTGGGACCAGAGTGGTTGATGGGGTGTCCTGAAGTCCACACAGGACTTGATGAATTTTGTGATGTACACAGACAGTGGTTTTTCTTCAGTCACACAGGAAGCATCTGCCTTAGAAATCGATATTATTTATTTGTTTGTGTATTTCTTTATTTAGATACTGAGTTTCTCTATATAGACCAGGTTGGCCTGAAACTGAAACTAGGGGTTCGATTTCAGTTTCCCAACTGCTGGGATTGCAGGCATGTATGGCCACATCTAGTTTCTATAATGCTATTCTGTGGACTTCTCTGAGTGCTACCCAGTATTGGTTCACAAGTTTCTGTTGTTTTTTTTTTTAGCAAAGCACCTAAGAGTCAGACTTCTTACAAGGGGATCAGAAACTGGAATCCTTCACTTGTAATTTTGATGAGTGCTTTCTGGTCTCCACAGTGAGACAGAGTCATTTACAAATGCCAAGCAGACAGAAGCAGACAGCTGACTGGTGCCTAGCTTTCCCCACTACCCCCTTTCTGTGGGCTCCCCAACACCTCTGGCCATAGGCAGACCTTTTACCACCTTTCGTCCATGTCCTCTTAACTACAGAGACTCTGCCTGAGCTGCCCACTGGGGAGCCTGAGTTCCACTACTCTGAGCGCATGATGGATCTTGGCCTGTCTGAAGACCACTTTTCCCGCCCTGTGGTAAGGTTTGGAGTCTAGACTCTTTCTGAGGTGCTATCCTCATCACACCACATCCAGGTGGCTAGTGGTTCAGACACTCTCATGAGCTGAGATGTAGCTTCCTTTCTAGTCACTACTGTTGGGCTCAATGACTCCCAAGTCAGTCAAGTCTCTTGGGTTTCGAATCTGAAATGTACATGGTACTTGATCCTCATCTTCAAAATCCGAGAGTCTAGAGACAGCTTGGGGAGAGGAGATGGGGTTCCTATTTTATTTATTCTTATTTATTTATTTGTTTATTTTGAGGCAGGGTCTAACCATATTAATTTGGTTGGTCTGGAACCCACTATGAAGATCAGGTTGGCCTTGAATTCACAGAGATCCACCTGCTTCTTTTAATTTATTTATTTGACCTTTAAGCTTTGTTCATGCAGATGTATACATACACCATATATGTGCATATAATTTTTTTCCAGACAGGGTCTCACTATGTATCTCTGACTGTCCTGGAACTCACAGTGTAAACCAAGCTTGCCTTAAACTCACAGCAATCTGCCTGCCTCTGCCTTCCAAGTGCTGGGATAAAAGGTGTGCACCACTAAGCCTGACTCATGTGTATATAATTTTTAGATGTGTATCTGTACACACAAGGGATTATACTCAGAGCCTCAGGCACACTAGGCAAGAGCTCTACAACTGAGCTGTATCCCCAACTTTAAATCCCTCATTTTAAAAAGATATATTTTTATTTTGTATGTGTATATGAATGCCTGCATATATGTGTGTACACCACATGTGTGTTTGTGTGGAACTGGAATTATAGGCAGTTGTGAACCCCAGTGAGGATACTGAGAACTGAATTTAGGATCTCTACAAGTGGTTTTAATTTTTTCCTCCTAGGTTTTCCAAGACAGCATTTTTTTGGGTAGCCCTCTCTGTTATGTGGCATGCTCTAGACCAGGCTGGCCTCGAACTCAGAGATCTACCTGCCCCTGCCTCCTGAGTGTTGGGATGAAAGGCATGGGCTACCTCCCAACCTCAGGAGCAAGTGCTCTTAACTGCTGAGTTGTTACTCCAGACCCCACTCTTCCATTTTTAACTTTTCATTTTTAAATTAATTCTTCCTAAGTTTCGAAAGCTAGTCTGCAACTTGTTTTTTAGCCCAGGCAGGTCTTGACATTTTTATTCTTTTGTCTTGACCTCTCAAGTAGTTAGATTACATGCCCATGCCATCAAGCCCAGAAAATTCTATATCATTTATAACATGGCTCACACTTTCTCTTAGCCACAAAATGAGCTCCAAAGAGGAAGGAAGGGTACCACTACCATTCTGCCTGGGTCTTTTGAAAGCCCATCTTGTGGGAGGAGGAGGGTGTCTCTTGAGAGCAGAGTCAGCTGACACCTGTCCCCACCTACACACACACACACTGTGGTCTGAACCTGGAAGTGGAGCATTCTTGGGCTGGGCTTTGGCTAGGCTTGGAGCTTCTGGGTCAGTCTGTGAGAAAGCACTCGGCAGTGCTGAGTCTGGGGTGAGTGTGCATCTTTAGGCTGCACTGATGTTTCAGCCATTAAACCAGAGGCCTCTCTTCATTTCCTCAGCTTTCTTTTTAGAAATGAAACGGCATGGCTAATAACGCTATTGGATTTGGATTTTCTAAGAGGAAGTGTGTATGTATGTGTGTAATATTGGGGGCCTCTGCAGTGTGAGATAAGCACTACTTCTGAGTAACACTCCCAGCTCTTGAGCCATTCTCACCCTTGCTCCCACCCTCATGAGACAGGGTTTCTCTGTACATAGCCTGGCTGACTTGGAACTCAGAAACCCATCTGCTTCTGCCTGTCAAGTGCTGGATTAAAGGCCTGTGCCATCAGGCCTGGCATTAAAAAAAAAAAAAAAAATCTTAATTTTGTGTTTGGTGTATGTGTCTCTACACAAATACATGATTTAATGTCTGTGTGACTCCTGTGTAGAGGTGTCCTTTATTGTTCTTCACCTCGTTTGTTTGTTTGAGATAGGGTCTTGCTATGTAGCCCTGGCTGACCTGGAATTCACTGTATAGATCAGCCTGACCTCTAACTCACAGAATCCACTTGCCTCTGCCTCATCTGCTTTACCTTCTTTATTTACTTTTGAGAGAGTCTCTTAAGTGAACCTGGAGCTCACTTATTCAGCAAGACCAGCCGACCACAGCACTCCAGGGATCATCCGGTTTCCATTTCCCCGGCACTAGGATTATAGATGTGTTCTGCCACACTCAGCATCTTATCTGTGTGCTGGGGATCCAAACTCAGATCCTCATACTTGCATGGCAAGCACTTAAGTGATTGTCATCTCCCAGCCCCTTGTTCTGTCTTTATGACAGGTTCTCAAGTAACCCAGGTTGACCTCAAACTTGCTATGTAATTACTATGTAACTGAAGATGACTTTTAACTCCTTTTTCCCCTTCTTCCTATTTTTGAGACAGGTCTCTAGCCCTGTCTGCCCTCCAGTTTGTTATGTTTAATACACGATCTCCCTGCCTCTACTTCCTGAGTGTTTGGATCACACAGATCATCAAGTGAGGCTTATTTGGTGCCGGGGACTGAATTCTTGTATGCTAGGCAGCAAGTACTTTATCAACTGAGGCACATCGCCAGCTGCAGAAATTGGCTTTTGGAAAGTCTCCTGAATTAAGTGTTCAGAGGCCCATGGGTAGATCAGTCCAGCTAGAAGCAGGGAGCAAGAGTGGATTCTTAAGTGTGGCTAACTCCTAGGCCTTGAGCAAGTCTTATCTGGGGAAGGGAGCTGAGGTCTGCTTTATGCCTAACTACTCATCAGGATAGGTCTACCTTCCATGGGGAGGGACTTCTAGGTGGTCATCTGACTGTGGCCTTCCCACTTGGGTAGGGTCTTTTCCTGGCCTCTGATGTCCAGCAGCTGCGGCAGGCAATTGAAGAGTGCAAACAGGTGATTCTGGAGCTACCGGAGCAGTCAGAGAAGCAGAAAGATGCTGTGGTGAGGCTGATCCACCTCCGGCTGAAGCTACAGGAGCTGAAGGTGGGTGCGAAGCTGCTCTACCACAAAGACATACCTGGAACATGGCCAGGACTGTGGGAAACAGGAGGACAGGGTGCCATTGGCTTCTTCCAGGGGGTGGGTCTTCTCTGTTCTCTGAGAGGTTGAGGTAGGAAGAGAAAAGCAGGGTGAAAGTGTAGGCTAGTTATTTCCCTGATGATACAGCCCCTCTTGATTGTGAGGGACAGAAACACAATCCTAAGGTGCTTCGAGCAAAAGGAAGATATTTTTGTTAACCTTTTGTGGGAGAGGGGTAGCTTCTAACATCAAGAATGCTGTACTGTTTTGCTCTAATTTGTATTAAATCCACCTTCAGGTAGGCACTTAGAGGCACTTACAGCAACTGATTCCTGTCTTTCCACGTGTTTACCTTTCTCAGTGTGGGCAGGAGGTCAGTCATGAGTTGATTGGCCAGGCCTGGAACATTCACAGTAATTGACTAGTCCTGGATTATGTGCTTATTCCTGAAACCATCACAGCCATTGGTTAGTTTTGTGATTACCCACAAAAGTGTGGGCAACTCTTTGAGTTGTATGACCTAGGAGGAGTGATAACCTGAAGGTGTTAACAGGAGGCAATGGTGTATCATAGAATCCAACCCACAGAAGTCTAGGTGTAGTCCTGTGTCTGTGTCTTTTGGCTTGGCTGTCATTGTCTCCCTTGTACTGACTCTGAAACTATGGGAGTTTAAAGTGGAATATTCATTAGGAAATAGGTAAGGATATGTATGGTAGTAAGCATATCCCAAGATACACATGTAGTTTTCCTCATGAAAGAAAACCACTGAGTTGGTTCAGGCAACAGCCAGAAATATATTAGAGCCCTTGTTGCTCTGCCAGATCCTGAAAGGAACCCAGGGTCACCCTACCACAGCAAACAGAAGGGCTGAGGCAATACCCCTCCTGCTTACAGGTCCTTGGGTCTGTACAGCATCTGGATGCAAAGAGGCTGGGAAATGTTGGGTGTGTTCTTGGGGTTTGGTACCTAGATACAGTTCTGTTGCTAAAGAGAGAATGGGAACATAGAGTTGAGCAGAAACTCAAAATCTCTGCTACAGGCAGTTCCTGGAAGGCATTTGCTGAGTTTCTTAAGTGAAAGGAAGGAGCTACAGCTAAGCCCATGACTTTTCCATTGTTCTTCCCCTATAGGATCCCAATGAGGAGGAACCCAATATCCGGGTTCTCCTAGAGCATCGCTTCTACAAGGAGAAGAGCAAGAGTGTCAAGCAAACCTGTGATAAGTGCAATACCACCATCTGGGGCCTCATTCAGACCTGGTACACCTGCACAGGTAGGCCAGGACCAATATAAGCTCTGCTTCCACATGTGGCTCACCTTCAAGTGAATTGTCCAGAATGTACAGATGACCAAGCATTGCTGTACACCGGAGATAAGAGGAGCAGAGGGGGCCAGCATGGCTGCCTTCACTGGCCTTGATTCTGGACCTCTGCTGTTTAGTATAGTGGTGATAAATCACAGAAGGTTTTTGAAATTTTAAAACATTATTTTTTGAAAGGGGTTGGTTTTTTTTTCCAGACAAGGTTTCTGTGTGGCTTTGGAGCCTGTCCTGGAATTTGCTGTGTAGACCAGGCTGGACTCAAACTCACAGAGATCCACCTGCCTCTGCCTCCCTAGTGCTGGGATTAAAGGTGTGAGTCACCACTGCCTGGTTTTTGAAATTTAAATTCACTTGAGTTGAATATGTAGATTGGTTTTATTATCTTCTTTACGAATGCTCAGTAGCCACGTGAGGCTGCTGGTTACCATATTAGATAATGCAGAGAGAATATTGAATAATGATGGTAGAGTCTGTATGAGATTCCAGATTAGGAAATACATGGTAGTCAGACTGTGCTAGCAAAGGAAAATGGAAAGGGAATAGTATTTATAGGGGGTACAGTGGGTACTGTTTTTGGTAGAATGAAAAGACTCATGGCAATTTAAACAAGCGCTTGGAGGTCAGGGCACAAGCCATGAGTATTATTTAAGGAGGAAGGATGTGGTATGGGGGAATCTTATATGCAAAGGCCCTGTGGTTGATGTGTGTCTATTGCCTGTGAGGGTAAGTACCATGTCTAAGGCGAGGTACAATAGAGGTATAATCAGAGGAAACCAAGGGCATTCCTTTTTTATATACAGTGAAGACTGTACATGGGTGCTGAATATGTAGATTCTGGTTGCTAAGTTGAGCTGGAAGAGAGTATTGTCTCCGATGAAGGTATGTATGAGGAGTGGTTGAGGTCAATGCTGGCTGCAGAAGTAATAGAGGAGTCAGGATGACTCATGCTGTAGTCTCAACCCAGAAGGACAGAGGAGATGGGAGAAGACAGTTGAGATGTAAGAGAGGAAACTTCATTGGATAGCTTGGGTTTGGTTGTGTGAGTCATGATTAATGGACAAAGCTTGGGGTCTAGAGACATGAGGGTCTTTGAGATGCTGAGCCACTCAGTAGTGCAAGGAGAAAGTCTTGAGTTGATATGGACACTGGAGGGGTGCTGATTTGTGTGGAACAGTCCAGCTAAAGGTCATCGTAGGCTGTTGATCCACACCACAACTTTTGAGCGATATTTTCCTACTGCAGGGTGTTATTACCGCTGTCACAGCAAGTGCCTGAACCTCATCTCCAAACCATGTGTCAGCTCCAAGGTTAGTCACCAGGCTGAGTATGAGCTGAACATCTGCCCTGAGACTGGGCTGGACAGCCAGGACTACCGCTGTGCCGAGTGCCGTGCTCCCATCTCTCTGCGTGAGTGCAAGATTCTGGGGCCCTCTTGCAAGCTGAGGGAGAACAGTGGCAGAGCTGACCCAGGAAGGGCACCTGGTTGGGGTGTGAGAAGCTATACTACAGCAGCTGAGTGAGGCCAGCATTGTCCATGCGCCTTGCTTTGGGGACATCACACAGGGAAGTTACTGGCATTCCTTCAGGTCCCATAGGATCAGATGGTTTCTGGCTGTTTCATGACTTGTCCAGGTCTCTCCAGGGCTGATCTCTGATCTCTGACTGCAGTGCCTTTGTGTTCCCACTGTCACAGACAACCCACAAAGACAAGGACTAGGGGAAAACAAATGACACAGCACTGGGGATATGATTCAGTGTAAGAATGCTTGCTTAGCATGTATAAGGCTCTTGGTTTCATCCCAAGTGTGCAGAAGAAAAGAAAATGAAAACTACACAATAACCACATTCTGGAGGTGGAAATTTTAACTACTATGAACTTGTGGGGTCCCTCCAGGGGTTCTTTCTGTCTTATTACTCTGTTGTCTCATTTTGCTGATGAGTAGACAGAGTACTGAGACACTGGGATGGCCGTGGGCCTCCTGGGTGAGAATGGGTAAGTCAAGTCTTGGGGTCAAGGGACCCCTAACTCAACTTACTCATTTCTGAAACTTTGGTGAGGGAGGGTGGACCACATGGTGTGAGTCCTTGGGCAGGGAAGTCAGACCTTAATCCCTAATAGCTACCCTGATCTTGTAACGACCTGGCCCCGGCAGGAGGTGTGCCCAGTGAAGCCCGGCAGTGTGACTACACTGGCCAGTACTACTGCAGCCACTGCCACTGGAACGACCTGGCTGTTATCCCTGCACGAGTGGTGCACAACTGGGACTTTGAGCCACGCAAGGTGTGGGTTTGGAGATGTGGCTGTGAGGGTGGGGAGGGAGAGCAGGGAGAAGGTGGGCATGTTTTGTCCCCACCAGTCCTAGCTCTGCAAGCTGGTCACTCAGCTTCCCTGCAGGTGTCCCGCTGCAGCATGCGCTACCTGGCACTGATGGTGTCTCGGCCAGTGCTCCGGCTCCGGGAGATTAACCCTCTGCTGTTTAACTACGTGGAAGAGCTGGTGGAGATCCGGGTGAGGCTGGACCCTGGTTAGGATGGATTTGTCTCCCCATGGGAGGTCTGAGCAGAGGAGGTGTGCTACTTTCACAAGCTCCTTGGCTATTTTTTGGTTCAAAAGTATTACAACCATAGAGACAGTGTTAAATTCTCTAATATCATTGAAAAAAGCAGAACCTAGGGTGGTGGCTCATTCCTGTGATGTTAGCATTAGGGACCTAGGCAGGAGGATCACTAGTGTGAGGTCAGCCTGAGCTAGACAGTCAGAGAGCCTGTCAGAAAGTGTGTGTGTGTGTGTGTGTGTGTATGTGCATTCTATTCATTTATCAACCAACTATCATCTATCTACCTATTTACCTACCTGGCTGGGGATGTAGTTCAGTTGTGAGAATGCTAGCTTAGATGCAGGAAGAATTGGGTTCAATTTCAAGCATTTTATAAATCTGGCATGGTAGAACATGTAGCTCAGGCTGACCTTGAATTTGATATATAGCTGAGGTTGTTCTTGATCCCTAATCCTCCTGTGTCTTACCTCCCAAGCGTGCGTATACAGCAGGCTTGTGCTTCTACACCTATCTAAGTATATTTTCAGTCCAATAGATTATTGGACTGAATATTCAGTCCAAAATATTATTATAATATGCAACCAACATACAAAATTGTCCAGATATTTTATTCTCTTTTTGTGTGTACTGTAACTTTGAATTCTAGTGTGTATGCTATACTTACAGCAATCCAAGTGAAGACTAGACATTTTCAGCAGCTCTATATGGCTTTGGCTACTCATAGCCAGAAGTCAGGGCTGAGGTTAAAACCTTGCTGTAGTTTGGGCAGGAGTTGATGCTGTGGGCAAGGTAATAGAAAGAACTTAAATTCTATGTTTTAGTGAGGGGTCTGAGGCAGAGCGAGGAGAATGGTCAAGGCCAAGGCATTGATGAATGATATGGAATCTGCCTAGGGTTTTGGCCCACTATGTTGGATATAACTTGGTACTGTCCTGAGGCAGGAGGATGGGCTCACCACTTTTCTGTGGGGCTAGGCGAAGTGACATGAATGGGAGATCTCAAAAGGCATGTTTAATGAACCTCAAGATCCTATGTAGCCCAGAAACTGTGATTTGCACTTTAAGTTAGATAGACCACTCAAATCTAGGACTATCTTGTAGAATTTGAGAGCACCTTCCCCCATCCCTACTGAACTTGCTGTCAGCTACAGTAAAGGATAAGGCCTTTGAGCATGGCCCCTATGAAGCCAGTACAAAAACAACCCCTTAGTCCTACAGAAAGAGTCACAGTGCTGCCAGTGTGCCTGGCTGAGATGTCCACCTGTTGTCTGTGTCTGCAGAAGCTGCGCCAGGATATCCTGCTCATGAAGCCATACTTCATCACATGCAAGGAGGCCATGGAGGCACGACTGCTGCTGCAGGTCTGATTGTGAGAGGGACAGGTCTCTGGAAGCCAGGGTGATAGGGTACTTGATGCTCAGATTCTTCAGATCACATGGTAGATAGACGTGCTATAGTTCTAGAAGTCTTCCAAACTTTTTATTCTGGGAATGCCATCTATAATTAACTGTCAAATATTTTACACATAACAGTGTTCTCTGATGATCTCAGGTAGGGAAACTAAGATAAATGCAATCATTGTGTTTAGCCTTCATGGCGGTGGGTGGCCTTGACCTTAGCCTCCTCAGGCAGGTTGAACAAAACACAAGTTTTAAGACTCTCCCACTGCTTTGTGCAGTACGTAATCTCATAATTATGGGGGCAGTGAGCAAAACAGGCCCTCGGAGCGTGACCAGTGGGTGGAGAAGGCAAGGAAAGTAGCAGTAAGTCAGGGTGTACATAGAAGTAAGCAGGGCAAGGGGTGGAAAGAATTGGAAGGATGTTGGGGAAAGCCATGGTAAAAGTGAGGAGCACTGGACAGCCATTGTGGCTGGAGGGGCAGTATAGGTGTGTGAAATGGGGTCGTATACATTAGAAAATGTTGCCCTGCTGTATCTTCCCTTTGCCTTTTCCAGGCTCTTGAGGTCCTTACACAGACACCCTATGAAACTTGTGGTTTTCACAAGAACCCTGGGCTCTGACAACAGGAGCAGCCCTGGGTGGGGAATGGGGAATCCTTTCTCTGCATTTGGAGTAATACCTGCTGGGTCTTGGCAGCTCCAGGACCGACAGCATTTTGTGGAGAACGATGAGATGTACTCTATCCAGGACCTCTTGGAGGTGCACATGGGCCGCCTCAGTTGCTCACTCACTGAGATCCACACACTCTTTGCCAAGCACATCAAGCTGGACTGTGAGGTGGGTCTCCCCATTCCCTCTGTGATTGTGGCCTTATCTGGAGGAGACTCTCAGCTGTTCTGTCCACCAGTCCTCAGGGTCAGGATTGGCAGTGAATTCCTGGTCTGAATTGGCATTTACTTGTCAGTCATTAATACTGATTCCTATTTCCAACAGCGGTGTCAAGCCAAGGGGTTCGTGTGTGAACTCTGCAAAGAAGGTGACGTGCTGTTCCCTTTTGACAGCCATACATCTGTGTGCACGGACTGTTCAGCTGTCTTCCACAGGTGGGTATGGTCTGTAACTCACTCTCAGGCAAAATATTAGGGCTCCTTCCTGCTTTCTAAACAGAAAGCCTTCCCTTGTCCTTGGCTGCAGCTGGTCTTGTGGAACCATGACAGAGGAAGTAGACGTTTGGGCTTTTGCTGTCTAGTTTTCAGAGCCCTTTGCTGGAGTTAGGCCCTGGTATCTATGTCCAAATTCAAAGTTCCATTATGGGGCCAGAAATGTAGCCTAGCAAGCATGAAACCTTGTGTTTGATTTCTAGGGTTAGATTGGTCAAACCTGTGGTACCCTTCATGCCTGAAGAGAAAAGTTTAAAAACCAAAATAACAAAGGAGTTTGCTGAGCCCTATCATACTCTGACACACAGTTTGGGAACAGGGGTGATGATGCATTAGTGTTAATAAATGATGGAGGTGACTGAGTAAGTAAGAACTCTGAGGGCTAACAAGATGGCTTAGTATGTAAAGGAGCCAAGCCTAGTTACTTGAGTTTGATCCCTGAAATCCACATGGTAGAAAGAACCACTTCCTGCAAGTTGTTCTTGTTTTCCATAGGTGTAACATGGCACATGTGTGCCTCCCTTCACCTGTGCAGGTACACGCACATACCAAAAAAAAAAAAAAAAAAAAAAGGCATATAGCCTGGGTATGACTGCCTGAAGCCTGACTCTAAAATAGAGGCTAGCACCTACATAGCAGGCTTTGTGGTAAATCATACTTGGGCACAGGTTCTACTCTGTTCTGTAGTTATTCACATCTCTGAGCTTGATTGCCTATTTGCAGGAACATATTGAGAGCTAGCCCAGGATGTAGAATTTTCTGTGCAGAACCTCCTTTCTTTCTAACCTCAGGGACTGCTATTATGACAACTCAACCACGTGCCCCAAGTGTGCCCGGCTCAACTTGAGGAAGCAGTCACTATTCCAGGAACCTGGTCTGGATGTGGATGCCTAGAACACTGGAGGAAATACCAGGCAACCATATCTTCCCCTCTGGCTGTCACCCTGCTGGCATTGCCAGCCAGGTGTTCATTCTACTCTGGAGACCCCTGAGTGCATCCCCTGGGCCTCTTCATCTCTTTTGGACCAGAAGGAAATGACTGGCAGCCACCAGGACTCTCATTCCCTGGGTGTTTGCAGAGACTTGGAGTTTTATGCCTGCCTGTTATTGGGTGTGCTGCTGACAGGGGTGAGAATGCTGCTTCTGACCCACTGTAGGACTCCTTAGGCAGGGGAACTTGAGTATGAATCCCCAGGAAAGTGGGAAGTCACTTTACCGTGGCACAGAGTTCTCCAGTCCTTTACAACCAATCCTTCTAGGCCTTAGAGAGGGCTCTGCTCCTGTCTACACCACCCTGACAACTGGTCAGAAACTCTAGAAGCCTGCCCAGTGAGACCAGAGGAGGCCTCCTGAGTTTTATCTCTGCTGTAATAATTTAGGTTCTACTTAGAGGCTCCCCTCCCTCTTAGCACCTTGTCTCCTTAGGGATTCAGGTTTTCTGAGTGGGGCTGTTCACAACAGTGTCCTATGGACTGTCTCAGCATCCTGAGAATCCTCTTCCTCCTTAGCCTGTCAGTCCTGTATGTTTCCCTGCCCTTTTTGTACAATAGGGAGGGAAAGGGTCTGTGGAGCTTTTCTTGGCACATACACCTGCTCCTGCCATAGCCTAGTCCACTTTATCCTGGTGCTCTGAGCTGGGCAGCTAGGGACTCCTCCTAAGGAAGAGATCTCAGTCTCCAGTTACATAGGTGGGATTATGTTCTGGGAACAAGGTCAGGTTGGCTGGTCAGTTAGTGTTGGCCTGTGTGACATTTGGGGGACCAAAATTTCCCACAGAAGTTTGTGCTCTGCTTAAATATGGCCAGTTACTGAGTTTTCATTTAGGAGCCTGAGACCAAGAGCTAGGAATATTTGCTTGAGAGAGACCCAAGCAAGAGGTCTATGGCCCAAGCAAGAAAGTCTAGGCTTTGGAGGTGGGCAAGACCTATAGCTTTCCAGTGAGGCACATTCCACCTCCATGCATATACCCCATAAATCCTATGGTTGAAGATGTGTGGAGCCAAGGGGATCTCAGAATATGGCTTCTGTCTTTCTTACCTGGGAAGCAGGAATTGCTTGCATCTTCCCCTTTACTCCTTGCCCATGGATTACCGTTGACACACACAGGTGGTGGGTAGAGGCCAAGGAGTGTCACAACTTGGATTTCCCTCACCTTCAATGGGGCACAAGAAGGGACACCTCAACGAGCAGATGAAGCCTAGCTTGCTGGCCTATTTGAGGGGTGGATGGACGCACTGCCACCTCCTCCTTGCTCCTCTGTACCATCAGGTGGCTTTACTCTTCCTATCTTTTCTGTTTCAATTTTCCCATTTGGAAAATGGGGAAAGTGGAGTTGACCTACCTCGGGGCGGAACAGTAAGGAGCCCTCTGAGTGTGATGTGGGTCGGCAGCAGGTCCCTGCCCTGCTTCCTCTTTGGTGTTAGAGGGACTTAAAACCAAATGCCATTTTCCTACACCCCAAATCTTTGTTTCGTACCATTGTATCACATTTCTGTCCTGTGGCTATTGGCCCTTCCTGAGCCTCCTGTGTAATCAGCATCACGTGTTCCCAGCTATAAATCATAGTGTCTAAAGAAAATATTACTGGTCTGGTGTTTGTTGAACCAAGTGTTGGGCCCCCTCTTACAATACACTCTAAACCTTCTTCCTCAATACCTCTTCTCTACCATCGCCTTCAGGATGATGTATATTTTCGTAGAATTATTTGTGGGTCCTTCTATGAGTCCACTGCTTGCTTGGTAAGAGGAGTCTAGCCAGGTAGGTGGCAGTGGTGGCGCAGACCTTTAATTCTAGCACTCAGGTGACAGAGGCAGGCAGATCACTGAGTTCAAGGCCAGTCTGGTATACAGAGTGAGTTACAGGACAACCAGGGCTACACAGAGAAACCTTGTCTTGAATGCCCCCTCCCAATAATAATATTAAAATAATAATAATCTTGCCAGGCACCAAAGCCCATTTGAATGACTGACACTTATGGAAGAGTGGTACCCAGCATGGAACCAGGCTGGCAACATGGAGACCCAGTTAAAACTATGCCATTGTCTCAGTCTCATTAAATATGGGATATCTAGACTGCTTTATGATGAATCTGGGATAAAGCAGGGTTCATTGACACACGAGCCAATTACAGGTTTGGGAAAGCATCTTGCCTTCCCTATTTCATGGGCTTGAGTATGATATTTGGGGATAAATAATATTTAGGGGTCCATTGGAAGAAATATTTAAATGGTGTCAGGCAAGGCCTGAGCCTGTTCCTGACAATGTATAGAGAAAATTTCCAAATTTTCTTGGCCTTCATTTGGGTGAGATGGGATGCTCACACATGCATGTACCCTTGGGGTTCAGGTTCCAGGAATTTCACATGTACTTGGCATGCAAGGAATGCTCTGTAGTAACAGCTTTGTTTTAAGTCCATGAGACCAGCCAATTGTATAACCATGGCAGATTCAGCAAGAGTTGACTCTAGCTCCTGGGGACGTCACTGATCTTTTTAAGCCAGATGCAGGAAAAGAGTCATTATTGCTTTCAAGGCCATTACCTTTGCCCTATGGTGGTTTTTAATGCCCTGGCTTCAGAGAAACTACAGGCTCTCTTTCGGTATATCCCAGCATGGAGGTGTATCCCTGAAGTACCAACACTTGAAAGGTAGAAAAGGGAGTATCCAGAGTCAGAGCTCAGCTGGGGACATGTAGTGTCTTATGATCTCCCCCAAATACAGTACATTCAAACACTTCAATCTTCATAGGCTAATATGCTGTTACCCTATGCCAGAGGAAACCTAAGAACTTGAGGTTATTTCTTTCCTTCTATTGGCACACCCACACAGCCATAGAAGACTCTGGGTTGAGATGCATGTGCTTCCAGCTACAGGTCGGACAATAACCACTGCACTAAGGATGTCCGCACTAGGAATGCACAGCTCACTTTCAGGTTTTGAGTGTTTTTCTTTTGATGCTTTTATTTTACAATAGGCAAAACTTCCTATTTGCCCATTTCCTCGATTCCCTAAATGTTAACATTTTGCCTTGTTCACTTTATTTTTATTGTGTGCGTGTGTGCTCATGAGCATGTGTGTGTAATCATTTGTTACTCATTTTCAGATATTTCCCATTTTCTTCGAACTTCCACATATATATCTCTTTCTTTCTTTCTTTCTTTTCCTTCCTTCCTTCCTTCCTTCCTTCCTTCCTTCCTTCCTTTCTTTCTTTCTTTCGACAGGGTTTCTCAGTGTAACAGTCCAAGCTGTCCTGGAACTCACTCTGTAGACCAGGCTGGCTTCAAATTTAGAGAGATCCGCCTGCCTCTGCCTCCTGAGTGCTGAGACTAAAGGCATGAGCCACCACCACCTAGCTCAGAGGCTGGAGAATTGCCTTAGCAGTTAAGAGCACTAGTTGCTTTTGCAGAGGACCTGGGTTCAATTCCTAGTACCTACATGGCAGCTTATAACCATATTTAACTCCAGTCCCAGAAGATCTGATGCCCTCTTTTGATTTTTGTAGGCAGCAGGCACAAATGTGGTGCACATATACACATGCAGACAAAATACTCACAGACATAAAGTGATAAATAAATTTTAAAAACCTTTTTTTTTTCTTTTCAACCAGGTGTGGTGGTACACACTTTGAATCCCAAGCACTTGGGAGGCAGAGGCAGGTGGATCTCTAAATTCAAGGCCAACCTAGGGCCACACAGAGAAACCCTACCTCAACAAACAAACAACCCAATACATAAGTGAATAAGGAAACAAATTATTTTTTTTTCATGGCCTTAATTTAACTATCAAAGGAAACTAACATTGATATAAAGGTCTTATTCACAGAGCTTGGTGTGGTAGTGCACACCTTTAATCTCAGCACTCAGGAAGCAGAGGCAGGCATATCTCTGTGAATTTGAAATCAGCTTGTTCTACATAGTAAGTTCCAGGACATCCAGGGCTATGTAGAGAGACCCTGTATCAAAAAGAAAAAAAAAAATCTATTCACACTGGGGATGCAGCTTAACTGGAAAAGAGCATGAGCATGTATAGCATGCATGCAGCCTTGGGTTTGATCTCTAGCATAAACTGGGCATGGTGGTACATGACTGTAATCCAACACTCAACACTCCCTGGAATTAGAGGCAGGAATATCAAGAGTTCACAGTCACCTTTGGCTGCATAAATGTCTGAGTGCAGCTTAGAATATATGGGACTGTCAAAACAGAAACCAACTGAGGAGGCAGAGGCAGGTGGAAAAGTTCAAGACCAGCTTGATCTACAGATTGAATTCCAGAACAGCCAAAGCTACACAAAGAAACCCTGTTTCGAAAAAACAAACAAAAACCCAAACAAAACACAACCCAAGCCGCCTTTGCTCCCACAAGCCCCTCATTATACTCAGTTGGCAAGACAAAACCTACGCGGCTGCACATACCAACCAACCAATCAAAACTAAACAAAGGTCTCTGATGGGGAACAATGGGGCAAGATGTGTACCAAACAGTTACTTTGTTTACGAGAGGTCGAAGCACGTCTAACCTGGATGCGTAACACTGGGGAACACCTCTAACTCGTACACCCATGGAAGTAGACACTGAGTTCAGTTCGGTAAGTGGCTTCATGCCGATGACCCACCCAAACCATTGGTGACGTTGAAATGCCAAATTTAAAATACGTCTACACGTCCTTGGTGCCTAGGTCAAGTTGGCAGAGAGCCACCGCTCATCAGCCATCAGGCAGCAAAAAGTGACACCCCAATTCAGGATCTTTAAAAGCTCAGCCGCGAACGGGACACCGAGCCACTGCTGTGGCCTACTGCGCACGCGCGCACACAGGGGCGTGTCACACTATGACCCGTCGCTGCGCTTGCGCGCGCCTACGCGGCGCGAGGTCAGGGTAGGGGGATGTTACTCCGGCTGGCGGGGGCGGCCGGCGGTCGGGCCCTGGCCTGGCCTTTTTCCAAGTTGTGGAGATGTGGCGGCAGCGCAGGAAGCGGCGGGGCGGTCTGGAGCAGCGTGAGGGTTCGAGGCATTGCTCAGCAGGTGAGCAGGGAAGCGCCCTCCACAGGTTTCTGGCAGCGTGATGGGGGCTTCACTGGACGTCGTAGTGACGTCATCTGCCTGCGGCTGGGACGGGCGCAGCCGCTTCCGGATTTCTGCTTCAGACTCCACCAGAGGGAGGGCGAGGGACCGAGAGGAGAGAGAAGGATGGGAAGGGCCCTTTTAAAAGAACAAAATGAATAGGCACAGCTGGCAGCAGCTGTGGGCGTATCTTGTCAGTACTCCAAAGGCAGGCCAGTACAAATGCCTAAATACTAACACCTACCTACTGCGGATCCTAGTACGTTAGGGTTTGCAACATATCTTTTAGGTAGTTTTTTTTTGGGGGGGGTCCCCCCAGGCGTAGCTCTTAATACTAAGCAGAGAAATATGGCCACATGGAATTCCTGCCATGGATGCTACATTCTTAGACAGTTAAACTTTATTCCATATTTTACCACCCATCACATAGTGTGTCTGCTACTACAGTAAGGAGGGGAGGGTCACTATCCCATATCTCGTACCTCATGGAGAGAGAATTGGAATTACCCAGAGGATTTTCCATCTTCAAATAGGTTAGTCAGTGTTATCGCTCATCACAGGGGCTATACAGCTATTTCTCAAGTTGTGTTTGCTTTTGTTGATCCCTCTTTTGCCTTTTTTCTTTCAAAATTTTTTTTCTTTTTTTCTTTTTGGTTTTTTGAGACAGGGTTTCTCTGTGGAACCACCCTAGCTGTCTAGTACTGTTGTTCCCTCTTAATATGCCAGTAGTGTTGTGTAACTTTCGATGAGCAAATGTCCATTTACCCCAGATAGGGCACTTGTGACAGGTCTAACTTTGTGAACAAAGGAGTTTATTGTAATTAATTACGGGGGCATTGGGGAAGAGTTCCTTACAGGAGTGAGTCAGTCAAAAGCAGTTTCTTCATTAAAAGGTGCACACATAGGCAACCCAGGGAAAAACTGCATTCCTGGAGCTCCCTACAAAACCTACAGTCAGTGCCATTGAAGAGGGTCTCATCTCCCCAGCAGTTGTTTACTGCCTGTATAACTTTGGGGATGGGCCTTGTGAACCTTATAATTTCCTGAGCATACGGTTTATTAGCATCTTGAGTTTTAAGAGCTTCCCTCCATCCTCCAGGATCGAATCTTTGGATTTGGAGGAAATAGCTGCACACACAGGTTGGGGAAATGCTCACAGGTTTGTTTCCAGCACTGTCAGTTGCAGAGTTGTTTCATGTTCCGTGTTGCAGATCCTGTTGTTGTGATTAACCTGGTGATGACCAGTCCTATTGTGAGTGTTATAGATTGTTATATAGCACAGTCTGAGTCACTGAACAGCTGTGGGCCTATGTCTTTTGTGAAAGAAGTAAGTGGAATGGTCTTTGAGTTGATTGTGTCACTTTTCATGGGTGAATAAATGTCTGTGTACCCTAGACAGAGCACTGGCAACAGACCAAAGAAATGATGTTGAATGATACTTGGAGGTGTGAACAAAGGTGTACTCAATCCAGATAGGGATAGGGAGCTGACAACAGGCAAAAGTATGGGTAGCACTGAATTCCATCTTGGTGAACCAGTGAATTTTATTGGAGCTACTTATAGGAACAGGAGTGACTCAGAGAGATGCATCACCAAACCCACCCAAGCCTGGTAGACTGCTCATAGAAGCTGGAACTCTGTTAGCATACTGCACAAGTTTCAGGTAGTTCAACAGGTTGGAGAGTGTTCCATTTCTAGGGGCTTGGTTGGTCTGAGCCTCTTCCAGGCATCTCAGCTGTCACAGAGTCTTCTAGGCAACTTGGATGGCCTCTGCTTCATCTAGGCAGTCTATCTTTATTGTGGTTTGTCTTGTCTGAGAGTTTCAGCAGTTCTTGGTGTTTATATATTTTGGAGAGGTAAGGGCCTAGTGAATCTGGTTGACTATAGAACTCACAGCATGGAAGTTAGTCACACAGATTTTCCCCAGAACATCTTCAATAAGTTAGCTTGAATTTCTGAATGAAACTTCATCATTCTTAGATCAGCAAGGCTCACTTCAAACACACAACCCTTGAGACCATAACATACAGTTTTGGTTCTCAAGGCAGTTTCTCTCTTGGACTGGCTTCCTTCTCTGTATGCAGTTTTCCTTGGCAGGTATCTCATGACACTAGCATCTCTAACCTCTTGGTATCTCTAATCCAATCCAGGCTTCACAATTCACAGCTTCACAAAATGACCTCTTAGGATTTCTTGCCTTCTTAGGGCCTTCATCTAGGCACTGCCCTGCTACGTATTGTTTGGCCTCAGCATCTCTCCTTAACTGCAGAGAGTCCATAACCTCTTTACTCATGTATGCTTCATGACTAAAGCCAAAACCACATGTATCTACTGCTGAGTTTAGCTACCAACCTGAGGTGAGCCTTGGCCTTCTCAAATCACATTTTTAGCAGATTTGATGTGTTTTTCCAGCAGCAGGAAATCCTTTCATAAGTTGGAAGTTGGAGTCTTGCCCTCCCTTTATTACAGTGCAGATCAGGCCATACCCCACCTTGAGCTCCTTACTCTTTCAACACAAGCCTTAGCTCCAACGTTACATTTCCTGGTGATCTTTTTCTTTTCAAATTGTGCATTTGTATTTCTTCCTTGCCCTACTTGTTTTCTTTCATTAAAGAAAGGTGGTTTTAATAACCATCTGACAAAGTCAGTATTAGGCTGTCTTGAAAACTCCTCCACCAAAGAAATTAGTCTATAACTTTCTAATTTAGCATCAGACAGATTCTGAGGATGAAAGCAGAAGGTGGCCACATTCCTGGCTAAAGTATCATAGGAATGAATGCCTCTAGCCCAGGTGCTGTTAAGTCCTTCTTCCCTCGGAAGCCTCTTGAGCAGGCCTCCATATAGCTTTCAGTACTCCTGTCTTCCAGACTCCTATTGGGATGGCCCATTAAGCTCTGTTTAAAACATTCATCTGCTTTTCTAGTTCAAAGTCACAAAGTCTTCCAAGTTCCTCAAAAACAACAACAAAATAAACAAAACAACCACACAGTCAGGTCTGTCACAGCAGTAGCCCATTTCCTGGTACCAACTGGTCTTATTAGTTAAGTTTCTATGCTGTGATAAAACACGGCCAAGGCAACTTAACAAAAGAAAATGTCTATTTTCAGAGGGTTAGAGTTCATGATGGCAGAGCAAATGCATAATGGCAGAAACAGCTGAGAGCTCACATCTTAAAGCTGAAAGCAGTAGACAGAGAAGACACTGGGACTGGCACAAGTCTTTTTAAACCTCAAATCCAGACCCTAGTGACCCATCTCTTCCAATAAAGCCACACCTCCTTTTTTGTTTATTTTTTTGTTTCTTCATGTCAGGGTTTCTCTGTGTAGTCCTGGCTGTCTTGGAAACAACTTTGTAGACCAGGCTGGCCTCAAACTCATAGATCAACCTAGATCTGCCTCCTGAGTACTGGGATAAAAGGCATGTACCACCTCTGCCAGTCTGGATATTATAGCTATAAAAAAATCCTGTGTGAGTTTTTACAGTGAATTTAGTTCATATTTATTCTGTTTGAATATCTATGTAGATAAATTAAGTAACAAGTCTATGCTTCAGTCTGAATTCTGTCCCTTGCATCCTGTCCGGGCCACTTTGAGAAGATGCTGTGTTGCATTGCAGAAGTGGCCTAATCATCTCTCCTTTCTGTGTCATCAGGTGATATGCTTGCAGCAGCAGGCTCTGCAGGGAAGACTGACTTCGTTTTCCCCAAGGCTGTGTTCAAAACCTCCCAAAGGTACTGTACTTCTCTTACCTTCTGCAGCATAACATTTATAGGACTAGTGTAACTTGCTCAGGGTGTCTTCCATAGTGACTGAGCAGGTGACAAGGGGGCATGACAGCTGGAGTGCTCCCATTATTCTCTTTCTAGTTTCCATATTGAGCCACACAGTGCCACCTCCATGCCTTTATCACTTTGGTACATCATTGACACTGGCAAAAGTGAACCTGTCTCAGAAGGATATTATAGTTGAATCTTGTGGAGGTGTGGGAATTCACTTTTGTTTCTGCATAGTTGATTTTGAGGATCCAGCCTCAGGTTTGGAAAGTAAAACAGGTAGACTAGTTACCTGAAACACAGTGGTCTACTTGGAGCCCTTCAGAGCAGGTCAAGGACCTGTGCTTAGTGTCCTGAGCCAAGGGACCATATTTATACAAGTGTTAGGAGACCTCTCTATCCAGAGAGTAGAAGAAATATTCCTTAGCTCACATGTCTGTGTTTGCAACTGGGGCTGCATGTTGCTTTGATCATCAGGTAAGAAGAAAGGCAAGAAGGAAAGCTAGCTTTCTTTCTTAGCCAGATTTACTGTACTGCTGCTTTTCTGAGTGTGTGTGTGTGTGTGTGTGTGTGTGTGTGTGTGTGTTTTTCTTTTTAAAAATACTATGACCTCTCCATTTTGTCCCTAAGGGTTTGAAAAATTTTTTAAGAATAAGAAGAATGGAAGAAGTACAGACCCAGGAAACTCAGTAGCTCCCCCAAAAGGTAAAAAGTCCAGTTTGATAAGTCAGACTGTCAAGTTTTACATTTGATTATTTTAGTTTATTTTTTTATTTTTATTTTACATGCTTGAATGTTTTGCCTACATGTGTGTTTGTGTACCATGGGTATGCCTGGTGCCCAGAGAGGCTAGAAAAGGGACCAGATCTGGAACTGGAGCTACAGACAGTTGTGAGCTGACACATGGGTGTTTGGAATTGAACCTTTGTCTTTGGAAGAGCAGCCAGTTGTCCTAACTGCTGAGCCATCTCTCCAGCCCCTTATTTGAGGTTTTTTTTTTGTTTTTTTTGTTTTTTTTGTTTGTTTGTTTGTTTGTTTGTTTGCTTGCTTTTTGTTTTCGAGATAGAGTTTTACTATAGATGTGGCTGGTTTAGAACTCAATATATAGACCAGGCTCTTCTCAAGCTCATAGTGATTTGTCTTCTGCCTCCTAAGTGCTGGGGACAGAGTTGTATGTTACCATGCTTGGCATGTTTGAGTGTTTTTAAAGTATTGACTGGTGTTGGGTTTATCTTCTTGAAGAGGGAAAACCAGGAAGAAGATATGACTGTCTGAAGTTGATCCTACCTTTTTTTTTTTTGCGTGTGTGTGACTGCTGCCTCCTTGTTCCTAAGTCACTGTTTTTTTGTTTTTTGTTTTTTTTTTTTTTTTTTTTTTTTTTGTCTTCATCTCTTATTATATTTTTTAGCTTCTTTGGACTGGCCTTGAAGTCAGAGATCTCCCTGCCTCTGCCTCCCAAGTGATGGGATTAAAAGCATGTACCACTACTGCCGGCTTTAACATTTTTAAAATTAGGGTTTTTTAAATTTTTATTTCATGTATTGGGGTGGTTTTTGTGTATGTATGCCTGTGTACCACTGTGTGCCTATGCTGGAGGGGCCAGAAGAGGGTGTTAGTTGTGAGCCACCATGTCCTGTGTAGGAGTATCCGGTGCTCTTAACCACAGAGCCGCCTCTCTAGCCTGTTATGAGTCATTTTTAAGTTGCATCTCAGTTTGGTGATGTGGATGGGTTTAACAGGTGTGTTTCACCTATGAGCATTAAATAGCAATAAAACAAATACAAGCTAATTAGGAGGTATGGTGGTACATCTTGCTACCATTTTTTAAGACTTGTTTTATCTGTAAAAATTGTGTAAATGTTTCTCTACCATTAATTCATGTTGTCTTTTCTGGTGTCACTGTAGCTTTTTCTCAACTTGTATGATTTTTTTTTTTTTAATGGTTGTTGGAGTGGTGATATATAGAGAAGGACTTGTTTTGACCTAGAACTTGTGTGACTATTGCAAAAGGAGACTCTACTTCTGATCAAAAGTGTACACATGGGTCAGGCTTAGTGGTGCATGCCTTTAATCCCAGCACTTGGGAGGTAGAGGCAGACGGATCTCTGTGAGTTTGAGGCCAGCCTGGTCTAGATAAGGAGTTCAAGACAACCAGAGTTGCATAGTGAGACCCTGACTTAAAAAGAAGAAAACAAACACTGGCGGATTTTTCTGCATATTGATATGATATGCTGTTCTTGAGAGCAGGTAATGTACATCTCAATTCTCTTGAAAAGGGATGTGCCTGTGTCAGCCTCTCTCATTTTTTTTTTTAATCCATGCTATTTTTTAGCCTTCCCCCCCCCCCAAAAAAAAAATTGCTGTTAAAATTTAGGCCTGCCTAGTATAGTGATACATATCTGTTATTTATTTGGTATGCCTTTTTGTATGTACATTATACATATATGTTTATGTATGAGATTGATATTGGGTATATCCCTTAATTACTCTACTTTATTTTTAATTTTTTAAACTACATTTATTTGAATGTGTTTGTGTATATGTGTGTGTATTCTCGAGTGCATACACGACGTACCACTGAGCACATGTGGAGGTCAGAAGGCAACATGTAAGACTTGGTTCTTTCCTTCTATCACTTGTGTTTCAGGGATGAAACTCAGGTTCTCATGCTTGGCGGCAAATACCTTTACCTGATGAAGCATCTCACTATCCTCCACGTTATTTTTTGAAGCAGGGTCTTTTTCTGAACCTGGAACTTGCTGGGTGGGCTAGACTGGCTTACCAGACCCTCAGGGATCCTCTTGTGTCTGCTGCCATAGCACTGAATCTGCAGGAATGCACGCCACTGTATCTGGTGTTTAACATGGATGCTGGAGATCTAAACTCAGATCCTCATGTTTGCACAGAGAGCACATGACTGACTGAAATACCTCCCTAGCTCTTTTTCTTTGTTTTTTGAATTCTCTTTCTCTGAAAAATTATGTATATTTCTTTTCCCTCCCTCCCTCCCTCCCTCCCTCCCTCCCTCCCTCCCTCCCTCCCTCCCTCCCTCCCTCCCTCCCTTCCTTCCTTTTAATCTCAGAAACTGTAGGCCCAAAGAATGCTGTGTCTGGAGGAGATGGAGGCAAGAGAGGAGGGAAGCGAGATGACTTTGCCTGGTGGAAACGGATGCAGAAGGTTTGTATGTATCTAGAGATCGGAGACAGCCATGCAGTCTTTTCTCTACAGGGTGTGGTTGCTACAGAGCTAAGGATTTGAATGGTCTTTTGTCTTATTTTGTTCCTGCTCTTGGACAAAATTGCTGGGTAACTTGATGTTTCTTTATTGTTTTGGCTTTCTTGAGACATGACCTCCTATGTAACCTTGGCTGGCCTAGAATTCACTGTGTAGCCTAGGCCTATGGTGAACCTCCTGTCTCTGCCTCTGAGTGCAGGAATTACAGATGTGTACCACCATTCCTGCTTAGACTGTGTAATTTTAAATAGTGTATATTTATTCACAATTGAAAAGGCTAGAAAATGTGTGGTCAGAGTGCTGGTGTGTTCATTTTTTGTTGAGGCTTTGATCTCTGGTTTCAAGGCTCCATTCATGGTGTCTTGTATCCTGCTTTGTCCATAGAGGAATAATACTGTACCCTAAATGATAAGAAGAAACATATTCATCCTTCAAGACCTTTAATGTTAGCACACAAATTCCATTCATGAAGATGTATCCCAAATGACTTAATCATTTCCCAAAGGTCCCCCCTCTTTAATGCTTTCACTATTGGTGTTGATTTCCAGGGTGGATTTTTGAGGGACCTAGACAGTTCGAAGAGTCTAAGACATTTATTAAAATGTGTCAAGACTTAGAGACCAAGATAAGAGAGAACCTTCTGCCAGGCATGGTGGCATATGCCTTTAATCCTAATACCCAGAGGTAGAGATAGGCAAAGCTCTGTGACATTGAGACTAGACTGGTCTACAGAGTAAGTTCCAGGCAAACCAGGGCTACATATTGAAAAGAGAAGTAGTCATTTTCATAAAGAAATTATCATTTTCATGCTGTTCAGAGGATCTGAGTTTGGCTTACAAGCTGCCTGTAGCTCCAGTTTCATGGAACCAAACTCCTTCTGGCCATGGGCACTCCCTTTCCTGGACATATACATGTAAATAAAAATTAAAAATAAAAAATTTTAAGCAAAAAATGAAACCACCTTATTTGTCATTTAACTAGAGAACGTGTTGTCTTTTCTTCCATAGGGGGAATTTCCCTGGGATGACAAAGATTTCCGGAGTCTGGCTGTTTTGGGGGCAGGTGTGGCTATGGGATTTTTATATTTCTATTTTCGAGATCCCGGAAAAGAGATCACCTGGAAGCACTTTGTACAATATTACCTTGCCAGAGGTCTGGTGAGTAGATTTATAGACTGTCTTCTTGGGAAAGAAGGTGCCATGCAGGAGGTTTACAATACCCTGAGGGATCTGTGAGCTCTGGGAGGGGCTGAAAGACGGGTTACTGTGAGATTGAGTCCTAAGCAGTTCACCTGGGGACAGAAACAGCTAAAGCAGAACAGTGTCAGGGTTATTTTCTGTTTGGGGGGGAAGCTGCCTTAATACCATGTCCTGGCATTATCAAAAGATAAAAAATTAGCTTGTGTTTTAAAATTTGGCCCTATCCATTCATCTTTGAATTTCAGTCTAATGTCTGATTCAAACTTTTTTTTCCCTTCACTGTACCCCTTGGTCCCTGCTGGCCAGCCCTGGACTTGTGAGACGCTGTTTTATGAGAGGTGCTTGGTAGCTTCCCTAAGAATAGTGGGGAATAGAGCCACTGCAGCCCTTCCCTGCATATGGATCTGCCATCTGTGGATGTGCCTGGGAGAGGGAGACAGGTGTGCTGAGTGAGAACAGAACTTGTGGACAGCGTCCAGAATTTCCCCAATTTAGGCATGTAACCTGCTGTTTACTGTGTTTGGGAGGATCTTTACGAAAGAGCATGTTTACATTAGTCTTTTCATTTATATTGTAGTGGTTTAAAATTGTTTCATGATGGCATGAAAAGATGGCTCAGCAGTTAAAAACATTTGCTGCTCTCCCAGGGTACCTGAACACCCACACCAGGCAGCCACAGCAGCCTGGAACTCTACCCCTGGGGTGTCTGATGTCTTCTTCTGGCCTGTGTGGGCATTTGTATACATGTGGCAGACACACAGAGATGTGCACATAAATAAAAACAAATCTTAGAAACAAATTGAACAAGAATGATACCGTGCCATCATATTTACAGAATGGGTACCATCATATTTACAGAATGTGGTTTCCTTTCTGATTGTTGTTTCTGAATTGAGGTTGCCCTCTGCAGCCCAATCTGGCCTTGAATTTGCAGCAGTCCTCCTGCTTCTTGATTACTGGGGTTATCGGTGTGCCTATTTCCTTTTTTTCTGTTTCTCAGAGGCACATATTAGTCTGTTGTACAGCCACTGGTAGCTCATGAGCCTCTGGGACTGCTTTTAACTTTTTTATTGACATTGTTTTTGTTTGGCTGGTTTTTGTGGTAGACAAAATGGTTCTGAATCAGGTCTGTACTCAAGATTTACTTTCTTATGTATGAGAGATGGGTTGGTGGGTGCAGAAACTTGCTACACAAGCTTAAGGATTTTAGGTCAAATCCCCAGAACCCACATAAAAACTGGATGCATAGCAAGGATGTCTGTGATCTTTGTGCACCTATGGGGAGATGGAGAGAAGCTTGTGGGCTAGGTAGACTGGAATATGCAAAGGAAAAACAGAGACACTGTCTAGAACGAGGTTAGAGGTGAGGACTGGTCCCTCAAGTTGAAGTTGTCCTCTCATGTCCACATATGGTTGCATGTGCGTCCGAATTCGTACACATTGTATACTAACAGATTATATTCATTTGTCAGTATTTAGGATTTTAAAATAGTCTAGTATGGAGCTCAGATGTTCCAAATTTGAGAAACTTCTTGAGTTCTTTATTAAAATGAAGTAGATTCATGCCCCAACCTTATAGATCCAAGAGAGCAAGAAACTAAAACTTAGAGTAGGCTGTGGGTGGTAGGGGATGATATGTTGTCTTTAGGATGTAGGTGTGCCCGCATGTGGTTGGCTCGAATGTCCTTACTGACTTGGCTGTTACTACTGTTTTTACCTTTTTCCAAGGTGGATCGACTGGAAGTTGTGAACAAGCAATTTGTGCGTGTTATTCCTGTTCCTGGGACGACATCTGAGGTGAGGGGGCAATTTAAAGCCCAGTGTTCAGATACCTTTTTTTTTTTTAAAGATTTGTTTATTATGTATACAACATTCTGCCCCCAAGTCTGCCTGCACAACAGAAGAGGGCACCAGATGTCATTATAGATTGCTTTGAGCCACTATATGGTTGCTGGGAATTGAATTCAGGACCTCTAGAAGAGCAATCAGTGCTCTCTTAACCTCTGAGCAATCTCTCCAGTTCCTCAGATACCTTTTTTTGTTGTTTGTTTGTTTTTTGAGACAGTCTCACTCTAGCTCTGTATATCCTTGAACTCTTTATGTAGACCAGGCTGACCTTAAACTCACAGAGATAACCTGTCTGTCTCTTAGGTGCTGGGATTAAAGGCATGTGCCACCACGCCAGATCACTTTTTGTTGTTGTTTTTTGAGACAGGGTTTCTTTATAGTTTTTGGAGGCTGTTCTGGAATCACAGTAGACCAGACTGGCCATGAACTCAGAGCTCCTCCTGTTTCTGTCTCCCAAGTTCTGGGAATAAAGGTGTGTGTTATCACACCCTGGCCACTTTTTTTTTTTTTTTTAATGATTTGATTTTTACTATTTTTAATTATGTGTATGTATGTCTGTGTGGGTATGTGCACAGGTGCCTGCTGAGGCCAGAGGTATTAGATCCCCTTGGTGTTGGAGTTAAGAACCTCCTGACTTGGGAGCTGGGAATCAACTTTGGTCTTTTGCAAGAACAGTACATATTCTTATTGTTGAATCATCTCTCCAGTCCCTTGATACACACAATTTAAATAGATAATGGCTAATGCAGGAAGCCTTTGAGACTAGTATAATTAGTTTTTGTCAAGTAATATATAAGGACTACTTGCCAAAATTTGTGAGGAGAGAATAAAAAGACAAAGGGAGACTTTGACTATTGTTACAGCATTTTATATTTTGTCCAGTACTTAAAACCTTGAAGTTTTGAGTGACAGAGCTGAATGAGCTGCTGTTTACCTATTTACTCTTGGAGCTAGCTTCAGGAAGGGATTTGTCCATATCTGTCTGCCAGAGCTGGGGAAAGAGGCTTGTCTGGGAGAACACAGATGTGGATGAGTGTGTCAGCAGTTCTCTATAGGACACAATGCTAAACCTAAACTTCCTCTTGGTCTCTGCAGAAGTTCGTGTGGTTTAACATTGGTAGTGTTGACACCTTTGAGCGGAACCTTGAGTCTGCTCAGTGGGAGCTGGGGATTGAGCCCACCAATCAGGCTGCTGTGGTCTATACTACTGAGAGTGATGGGTGAGTTCTAGGGATGCAGAGGTTCTTGGGAGGCTGTGGTGTAGGACATTTTCTTTTCTCTATGTAGTAGCCCTATGATATTTGATTCTTAATACAAAACAAAAATTTGATGTTTAACCTATTTGTGGGTATGCTTATTTTTTTTAAAAACATTCTAGACATCTGCTAATACTTTAAAAGAATATTTTGATTTTTTTTTATTTAAAATTTTTTGTTTTGAGATGGCCTCACTCTTAGCCATCCAAGTCTCAACTCCTGGGTTTAAGTGATTCTCTTGCTTCAGCCTCCCAAGTGTATGCCATGGCACTAACTTATGTCTCTTTATTGCTAAGAGAATGCCAGGTAGCCTTCAAGAAGTATGTAGGAAAAATAACCTTATTAGGTATTGATATCTTTGCTGAACCAGAGTCTTTTGAGGAGAGCATATGGCTCAGGCTCTGTCAGACCTATTTGTTCTGTACTGGGTGGGTAAGGGGCATTTTAGAAACTGTCTCTTTTGTATATTTTATATAATGAAAGTTTTAGGGTGGTTTGCTCTTTCTGGGTAACAGTGGAACTTCTGACCTCTCTCTCTTTCTCTCTCTCTGTATGTGTGTCTCTCTCTCTAAGTATATACAGTGTTCTATTTGCATGTATGACTACAGGCCAGAAGAGGGTACCAGATCTCACTACAGATATGAGCCATCATGTAGTTGCTGGGAATTGAACTCAGGACTTTTGGAAGAGCAGCCAGGGCCCTGACCTTTCTCTTAAGTGAATGTAACATATTGTTTTCTTTGATTTTTGCAGTTCTCTTCTCCGAAGCCTAGTACCCACCCTGGTCCTGGTTAGCATCCTCCTCTATGCTATGAAGAGGGGTCCAATGGGGACTGGTCGTGGTGGGCGAGGAGGAGGCCTCTTCAGTGTTGGTGAGACAACAGCCAAAATCTTAAAAAACAACATTGATGTGCGATTCGCAGATGTGGCTGGCTGTGAAGAAGCCAAATTGGAAATTATGGAGTTTGTGAATTTCCTGAAGAACCCAAAGCAATATCAGGACTTGGGAGCCAAAATTCCAAAGGTATTGATTCCAGGAAACAGTGATACAATCTAGGCTCCAAGTTGAAGTACAGATTGCTGCTATTAGTTTATTTTTTCTTCCTTAAGTTTGTATTCCTGTTAATCACAATAGAGGATGTAAATAGTGTCTGCAGTGTAGAGCATTAAAAGTCCTCATGTGTGATTGGTGAGGTGGCTTATGCCTGTAGCTCTAGCACTGGTTGGTCAAGGGGGGAGGACTAGTGAGAGTTCAAAGCTAGTCTAGGCCACATAGTGAGTACATGGCAGCCTATGCTGTAGACTAAAAGACACTGCTCAAAAACTCCACATTAGGTTGTTTGTTTTTTTAAGTTGTGATCTCATCTCCAATGACCTGATGGTATTCCAGCACCTGAACTCTAGATACAAGGTTTGTTGTTGGGACAGGGTCTAATTATGTAGCTCTGGCTGGCCTATGACTCACTGTGTAGACCAGGCTGCTTACCTCACAGAGATCTGCCTGCCTCTGCCTCCCAAGTGTTGTCATTAAAGGCACGTACTACCTGTTGTGCCCAAGTTGTGAAGCTCCCCAAAAACCACCAAGGAGAGACAGACCCACTGATGCAAATGCATAAGGTTTATTGTTCATCCAACTATGACAGGGACCTTGTCTGGCTGGCTGATACAGCAGCCACCAGAGGAAGCGAGTTCCCTGTCTATTGTCAGGTTTTTAAAGGCAAAAATAACAGGATTACATCAGTAGGTATGGGTTGGTTTTAGATTGGTTGACATTTGGGGAGCAGTCGGTAATTTCTCAGTCATATTTTGGCATGAAATACCTGTGTACCAATTATTCTCATTGGTCAGTGTTGAGAGGGGACATTCTGTGGTTTCTGTGGCTTTATCTTGTTACTTGCAGGTGATCTGTTATACATAGATATCAGTAGTTTTCAGTATCCTGGAAACTACAGGGGAGGCTTTGGTCTCCCCTGGAGTTTCTTTTGTGGCCAAACAGTTCCCAGGAACCAAGCATCTGGGAGGCTGGGGGTGGTCTGGAGTTTCTTTGTGTTCAGTTTTGGACCTAGGCTTCAGGAGGCCAGGAGATCTGGAGTTTCTTTGTGCTATGCGCTGAGTCAGAGGCCTACATGTCTTTTCTGTAGCCTGTCATGGCTGCTAAAGCAGGGGGCTGAGTGCAGGTCTGGTCCCTTTATTAGTTTACCCCTTTCACTACCATGCCAAACAGAAACAGGGACTTATTTAGATCTTTTACAGGGGGGCAGTGAGTTGGCTCTGCTGGTTAAAGGCATGTACCACCAAGCCTGGTGAGACAGGTTTGATCCCTGGAAAGAGAGAACCACCTTCTGTGAATTGTTTATGACAGCCACATGTGTGCAGAGGCATATCCATGGCCACATGTGCACATTAAAAAGCAAATACATTGGCACACACCTTTAATACTCACTGCACTCAGGAGGCAGAGGCAGGTGGATCTCTCTGAGTTTGGGGCCAGTCTGGTCTACAGAGCTGGTTCCAGGACAGGCTTCAAATACACAAAGCTGGGTGTGGTGGCTCTGTGGTGAAGGAACTTTGCCACCAAACCTGACAGCCTGAGTGTCTGTCCTTATACTGTTCCGGTCTCTCTCCTCTACCCCAGGGTTCTCTCTGTAGCCTTGGCTATCCTGGAAGTAGCTCTTTTTACCAGATTGACCTTGATCTCTCAGAGATCTGCCTACCTCTGCCTTCCCTAGTGTCTGGATTGAAAGTATGTCCCACCACTGCCTGGAAACAGCCAAGTTTTAATTCTTGTACCCACATGCCATTTTTACATGGTGGAAGGAGAGAACTGACTCTTGCAAGTTGTACTCTGACTTTCTCATATATGCCATAGCATGCCAACCCTGCACCCAAACATAACTAAATAAATGTAATAACTTTTTAAAAAAATCTTTTTAATTTTCAGGCATAATAGTTTCAGGCATAAATTTAATTTAAAATTAAAATGAAGGTGTGTTACAAAGATGTGAATTTGCAGTCTTCAAATCTTAGTTTCTGTTGCTATGATGAGCATCATGACCTAAAACAGCCTCGGGGAGGAAAGAGTTTATTTCATCTTGGACTTCAGTAACAGTTAATGAAGGGTGTCGGGGCAGAGCTCAAGCAGGGCAGGTACCAGGAGGCAGAAGCCATGGAAGAATGTTGCGCGTACTGGCTTGCTCCCCATGGCTTACTCAGCTTGCTACCTTATATAACCCAGGACCATTTGCCCAGTGGTAGCTCCACCCACAGTGGGTTGGCCCACACTAATCATCAATCAGGGAAACACTCCACAAACTTGTCTACAGGCCAGTCTAATGGAAGTATTTTCTCTAATGAGGTTTGCCCTTTCCTTTTGGGTTGAGGTGACAGAACACTAAGCAGCACATGTGTGAAGGTCATAGGACAATCTCACTTTTCACATACAGGATATCTTGCTATTTGCTGCTGTGTATGCCAGGCTACACAGGGGATTCCCCTGTCTATGTCTACTATCTTACGTAGGAGCACTGCTATTATGCCTGACTTTATATGGATTCTGGGGATTCACACGCTGGTCCTCAGGTGTCTGGCCTGAACAACTGATGGAGGCCCCTCCCCCCCCCAAAAAAAAAATGAGTTGTGTCCACCCTTAAACCAAAGGCTGTGAAGCTGGACAAGCTCACTGGCTAAATTTCAGCAGGCAATGAGTTTCACTCCTGGGTGCCTATGCAAACTAGCACTGCTGTCTTAGAGAGCATTTTGACAATAATCATTAAGGAAAGCATTCTAATCCTGGCCGTGGTGGCACACACCTTTAATCTCAGTGCTTGGGAGGCAGAGGCAGGCGGATCTCTGTTAGTTTGAGGACAGCCTGGTCTACAGAGTGAGTTCCAGGACAGCCAGGACTATACAGAAAAACCCTGCCTCCCAAAAAGCAAGAACAAAAACAAACAAACAAACAAAATAACCAGAGAAGAAAAGAAAATAGAAAAGCATTCTGGATTTTTGAGCTAGTGGACTCCTCCTAGTGGACTATTCCTGCAGACGATAACTTCTCCGAGTGAGGATCTCATTCTGGGAGTTTTCTTTTTAGATGCTGTGATTGTGTGTAAACTATGGTGAATATGTTGTGTGTTTGTGTATGTATCTGTGTGTGCACATGCAGGTGTATGTATGTGTGGGGAGGTGGTAGGCCAGAGGATAACTTTGGGTGTCATTTCTCAGGAGCCCTCCGCCTTCTGTTTTGAGACTGTGAGTAGGCAAGGCTGGCTTATTGGCCATGGAGTCCATGGGATTCAACCTGTTTCTGCCTTCCTAATAATGTGATTACAAGTGTACTTATCTTTGTGCCTGGCTTTTTCACATTGCCTGTAGAAATTGAACTCATATCTTTGTGCTTTCATGGCACCTTACCTATACTGAGCCATTTCTCCAATCATGTAATTACTCTTTTTAAAAAGATTTTTATGTATTTTATATACAGCATTCTGTCTGCATGTATGTTTGCAGGCCAGAAGAGGGTGCTAGATCTCATTTTAGATGGTTGTGAGCCATATAGTTGCTGGAAATTGAACTCAGGACCTCTGCTTTGCTATTTATCCAGCCCACATTAATTTATTTTTAAGGAGAGAAGATTTTCTAAAAATCTTAGGCTCCAAAGGTGGTGGATTTGATGAGATTCTTGTTAGTCCTAGAAGTTTCCTGTATGTATTAGAAAACAAGCTCCATTTTATATCTAAGTAGAAACTGGCTTGTTCCCAGTGTGCTATCTGTCCTACTGGAGAACTAGGTGTCTCTTTTCTCTTACAGGGAGCAATGCTCACTGGTCCACCTGGAACTGGCAAAACACTTCTTGCAAAAGCAACTGCTGGGGAGGCCAATGTGCCCTTCATCACTGTGAATGGATCAGAGTTCCTAGAAATGTTTGTTGGTGTTGGGCCAGCACGGGTAGGTGGCTGGGTAACCAGCTATAGAAGGTGCCAGTACACTTCTTGTTCAGGATTGTTCCATTTTGTTAGCTATAGGCTTTTTGTGGGACAAGCACTGAGTGCGCCCCATCAGGGAGGTACTGACATATCAAAGGGAGGTCTAAGGGTGAACTGTTCTTCTGTATGATAGGAATGTAAATAACAAAATAGGATCTGGATTTCTTTTCCAGGTTCGTGACATGTTTGCAATGGCCCGAAAAAATGCTCCTTGTATTTTATTCATTGATGAGATTGATGCAATTGGCAGGAAGCGAGGCCGTGGTCACCTGGGGGGCCAGAGTGAGCAGGAGAATACTTTAAACCAGATGCTTGTGGAGATGGATGGTGAGTAAACACCGTAGCAGATCTGCAGGGACTTAGTTTCCACAGGAATTTGCATTTATTCTTCTCTCTCACTATTAAGCCTGACTTAGAGCTCTGATTCTTTCTGCCTTCATTTCCGGAGTGAGGGAATTACAGGCATGTGCCACCGTGCCTAGCTGATGCATTCTGATTTTAAAAAAGAATGCTCTCAAGCAAACATAAGTGAGAAAGCAGTGTTTGATTCATATAGAGCTCCTCACTGCACAGTGGGAAACTTGTTTCCTACCTGCCAGGAGGGCAGGGAATTAGCTGGGGTGAGGGCACCCCCTTCTCTTGGGACATAAATGTGTATATGAGCATGGTGCACATAGGATAAAGTGGACTCAGACATACTCCTTTTGCTGCGGGCCTTGTTCTTCTGATCTCAGAGTAATTCTAGCCAGGGTGTACCTCCATGGAATACTTCTAGTCATTATCCAAGCTTTTGAGTTTGGTAAAGCTTCCACTGGATCTTTGTCATGTTGAAGTCCCTAAGCCCTCTCTGGGTTGGGTTTTTGCCAGGGAGTCACAGAATCAGGTGTACTCAGGTATGGTCCAACACAAAGAAAGGACACAGCAAAATTAGTTAAAAAGGAAGGCACAAGGAATGGTCCATTGAGACCAGGTGCAGAATCTAGAATCTTCTCTAGGAAGAAGTTGTGATGGCATGTAGGAATTGCCTTGATCCTGCTGTTTTCATTGGGTCAAGTACTCTCTGCTTGACATGCACCAAGATTCCAGACTTGTGTAGGAAGGTAGGTATTGTGCATAAATAACATTGTTTGCACTAGTAATTTGGACACCAGGAGCCATTGTCAGGGAAAGGTGGCTGAGGGCAGCACTCATGTGGTCCTTAAGACAGCCAAGCCAGGCTGGGAGGTGGTGGCACACGCCTTTAATCCCAGCACTCTGGAGGCAGAGGCAGGTGGATCTCTGTGAGTTCGAGGCCAGGCTGTTCTACAATTCTACACAGAGAAACCCTGTCGACAAACCGGAAGGAAAAAAAAAAAAAAAAAAAAAAAAAAGGCCAAGGCAGTTATATGCACATACCAAAGTTGTTTCTGGAGACCTGTATTAAATCTTTAGTACTTAAAGGTAAGTAAAATAGGTTCTTACTATGCTTTCCTCTGGTGAGGACTGAGTGGAGACAAAAAAGAAGAGAACACATGTGCATACCTAAAACCCCATACTAATTCTATCTTCATGGACTCACTTTGGATGAGTGTTCCTTTTTTGCCATCACCTGGTTATGCTTGATGAATCCTTCAAGCCCACAAGGACTTTGGTGGAAGGAGGCAGTGAGTCCTGACAAGATGGTATCAGGGTATCAGGAGTCAGAAATAAAAAGAGACTCCCCATGTTCCAGGCTTTATCTCCTATCCTTGACTCAGATTGTAGGATTTCCAGTATAAATGTACCTTACTCATAACAGAAGGTAATAGTGAGAGCTTAGAGCCAGAGTCAAGTCTTTGTGTATTGTCTTTCCTAGAATGGGGCAAGCCTGGCCCCCTGGGGCAGCTATGCAGGGCCTCATACCTGTTTCTTGGCACTTACAGAAGGATGTATGGCAAGCAGAAGGGAAGTAGAGCCAGCATGGGGCCTGACTTGGAATGGTCATGCAGATTCTGGTGTTGCTGGGCCTTCCTCAGGTTAACCAGCATTTCTTGTGTTTAGGGTTCAACTCTACCACTAATGTGGTAGTGCTAGCCGGTACCAATCGCCCTGATATCCTTGATCCAGCCTTGACACGGCCTGGCCGGTTTGATCGCCAGATTTACATTGGTGAGTGCCTGTCATGTAGGTACTTGGGTTTGGACCTCAGCCCCCTTAGGTTAAAGGTTTGGGTAACTCACTTGCTGTGCTTTTGGAGATGCTGATGCTGGGTTTCGTCTGACAGTCCACATTTTGGGAATAATAGGTGTGGTTTGGCTGTCCAAATGTCCTTGTAGAGAATACAGGTAGAGAGGCATAGCCTATTTCTGTTCTCCAGATTTTATTCTCATACAACTTTATAAAACCTTGATATGTTAGAGAAAAAGGATTTATCCCTTGTCCTTCTTTCTGACAGTCAAGGATATTCACCTTCCCTTGACATTTCCCAAGTGGAAAACATTGATCATGGGTAGATAGTTTCTGTTGGGTCACATGGCCTTGGGGGAATAGATTTAATATTAAGTAGGTAGGTGTGTGTGTGTGTGTGTGTGTGTGTGTGTGTGTGTGTGTGTGTGTGTGTATGTGTGTGTGTGTTAGTGGTGATTGAACCCAAGGTCTTGTTCATGCTAACTCTGAGCTTCATACCTAGTCCAAGAAGATATTTGGTGTTTGATGTATGGCATTGATGTATGGGTTTTTTTTTTTTTTTTTTTTTTTTTTATCATTTCAACCTTGTTGCAGGCAGCTAATGCAGGCATGGAGCTCTGGTGGCTGTCCTTGAAGTTTTGTGAAGTAATTTTGTGGAAACCTTTTCCAAAAGCTCTGAGAACCTAATTTTATGTCTCATTTTCTTTATTAGGTCCCCCTGATATCAAAGGCAGGTCTTCCATTTTCAAGGTCCACTTGCGTCCACTCAAGCTAGATGAATGCCTCACCAAAGATGCTCTTTCGAGGAAGCTAGCAGCTCTTACTCCAGGCTTTACTGGTAAGTGTTTTGTTGCTGAGCTACTCAGCAGGGGCCAAGTGCATTTGTTAATTCTATAGTGACTGGTGTTGTCACCCTTGCCCATTTGGTCCTGGCAAATGGTCATCTTGGTCTATAGAACTTTGAACCTGAGACATTTCAAAGGTTTCAGATCTTTTTAACCTAAAGCCTGTTGGTGCCCATTTGAATTTGTTGATTTCTGTTTAGACTTGAGTCTTTACTATAGAGGTGAAAATAATGTCTGAGGGTGATCCCCTGAAGAGATGGATCATATCACATATTGGTCTTGGCTTTAACTCTCATCTGGAGTAATTGTTTGGCTTTTCCTTTTTTGAAACCTCATCTCCAGTGCTTCTCCATTTTTGAAACCTCATTTCCAGTGCTAGGATAATTGTTTCCCTACCAGAGTGGTCTGAACACCAGAAGGGATTTTCTGACATATTTGCTTCTCCATAGCAGCCCTTTGAAAACAACAGTTGCCTCATGGCTACTGTAGCAAGTTGTTTGTAGTCCTCTACTTCTGCCATATGGATCCTTTGGCAGTGGAGTGTCCTCACTCTGGCTGCCTATAGTATCCTACTTAGCATTGGGTCAGGTATGTTCACCAAGTATGTATTTGTCTGTGGTATAGTGGTGAGAAGTTCTTGCCAGACTAACATGTGAAAGGCCTTCTTGGTATTCTGTCTAGAGTGTCCTTCCTGTCCCGTTTTTTTCACCCTTTGCAGAATTCAGGTGTCCACTTATGTGCCCAGCTAAAAGCTAGAGTAAGTTACACAGACTTTAGATTTCCCTGTGAGGATTTTCAGTTTGGAGGACTCAGCAAGAGAATTCAACACTTCCACAATAGGGCAGACTTAGAACCTCTCAATAACTCACTTTGACCCACTCCCACATGGACTTGAGGATGCTGCATCATTAAAGTACATTTCTAGGCCTGGAGAGATGGCTTAGTGGTTAAGGTTGTTTGTTGCTCTTCCAGAGGACTAGAATTTAGTTAGTAGCTCCCACAGTGGGTGGATCTATAACTCTGCTCCAGGGATCTGATACACTATTCTAGACTCTACAAACACATAAGTAAATAATAAGATAATTTTCCAAAACAAAGTAATTTTCCTCCCCAAGACTCATTGTACATAAAGGGCATAGCACAGAATCTCTGAGAATATCAAGATGCTGAGGACAGGTCTTTGTCACTGTTTTTGACAACAGGAGCCATGCAAAGAACTGCTGGCATGTTTCCAAAGTCAGAAATCAGCACTGATTGTGGCATCCCATTGGTTCTTACTGTTGAAAGCTGCTTTTCCCCTGTATTCGGATTGACCCTTGGCTAGGAGATGTAACTATTTTAATCCTGAGTGCTTCCCCAGAAAATAGGCAGCTTAAATTTCTTTCATGGTCTCTACTTGTTTTTCACTGCAGTGGATCAAGAACAGGTACTAAAAATGTTGGTTGATGATTTAGCAGAAAACTATAAAACCTGCAAAGAAGCAGATATTATATCTTAAGCCCCAAGTAAATACAATATTAAGCATAGTAAGCAATTTTTGTTTGTTTGGTTGGTTGGTTCGTTTCATTTTTGGAAGCAGGGTTTCTCTATGTAGGCCTAGCTGTTCTGAAACTCATTCTGTAGACCAGGCTGGCCTCAAACTCAGAGATCTGCCTGCCATGTGCCATCACCACCTGCAATTCTTAAAATGGGTGGGTAAGAGGGCTCAAAAGGATCCCAGTAACCATATAGTGGAAAGAGAGAACCATCTTCCACAATTTGTTCTCTGACCACCATACATGTAGTTTGACACACTCATACGCATACACACAATACATGAATAGATATAATTTTTAAAAATTCTTAAAATGAAGCTGGGTGTAGTGGCAAACACCTGTAATCCCAGTACTTGGGAGACAGAGTCAGGTGGATCTCTGTGAGTTCGAGGCCAGTGTGTTCTACAGAGAGACTGTCAGGACAGCCAAGACTACACAGAGAAACTCTGTCTCAGAAAATAAGAAAATCAAAGCAAAGCAAAACAATTCTTAAAATTATGTATCTTAAATATTCTCAAAAATGTAAAAGAAAGCATGGACAAAGGAGTAAAGGAAGTCAGGAAAACTGTTTCAGGAAGCAGAGTGAAGAGATAGATGGAAGTAGAGAAAGGTCCAAGTACAAATGTGGAGGGGAAAAGTACTGGTAAGTAGAATGTGAAATTTACAGCTGGGACAGAATGACAGGCTTAAATAGATAGAAGAGAACCAGGAAGCAGAGATAGAGTAAATGAAATGACCAAATCTGTGGAACAGAAGGAGAAGAAAATGGAGAAAAGGAAGAGCCTAGGGGCCTGTGTCAGTGAACTTGTGGAAGGACAGGATAGAGGATAAGTACAGAAGAGAGAATAAAAACTGAAGGAATATTTGAAGATACAACGAACAAAACTTTCCAAACTGGATAAAAGATGTGAATGCATACATACATTCAAGAAACTCAGTGAACTCAAATGTATGAATAAAGTCAGGCCCACATAAAAATCATAAACCAACTATGAAAAACCAAAGGTACGGGAGACTCTTGAAAGTATCAATAAAGGGGGACATATAGTTCAGAGGCCCTCAATGATGAACACTTACCTTCTGTTTAGAAACTAGAGTTCAGAAGGCACTGATGAGGTGCTAAAAAATCCATCAGTTAAGTATTTTGTGACTGCCAATACTATTGTTTTTAAGAGTGAAGGAAAAATTACAGATTATAAAAGGCAGAAGGATCATAGTAGCTCTGCCCTGCAAGAAATAAAGCAAGAGGGTGACAGGCAATAACTTGAGGCCATAAAGAAAAACACATTTACAAAGGTGACTATGTAGGTAAATGTTTTGTTTTATAATTTTAAAAAACAAGCACATAAAAACAACTACAGATCTGTGTTAAAGAGCACAAATTCAACAATGTTTCATGTCTACAGATTCCTACAAGGAGGAGGAAGGAGGTAAAAAAGAGCAGAGTGTATTCTTATGAAAGTCAGAAATAGAAATACTGGTTTCTAAAATTCAAATGGAACTAGCTGCGAGGGCCCCAATAAACAAAGCAATCTTGTAAAGGATGAAGGACTCACATTTTGCTGTTTCAAAACTTCCCACAGAGGCATTGTAAGCAAACTGTGGTCCTGGCAAAGGAGAGACAGAGGCCAATGGAAGAGAGGCGAAAGTCCAGATAGAAGCCTTTACGTCGCTAGTCAGATGATTTTTTGACAGTTGGGGAAAGAGCCAGAAAGCCTTCTCGTCAACAAATGGTGCTGGGACAACTGGGTCTTCACAGGCAAAAGAATGAGGTTGGACCCTTAACTTTACCAGCTGTAAACATTAATTCAAAATGGATAAAAGTTTTAATTTAATAGCTTCAAATATAAGATGCTTAGAAGAAAATAGGTGAATCTTTATTACATTGAATTGCCAGTGCTTTCTTATATATGACCCAGTGTACAAACAAACAGAAAAATAGACATATTGGATACTAAATCTTTGTTTCAAATGATACACTCAGGAGAATGAAAAGGTAACCCACACAATGAAAATGAAAATCATGTATCTGATAAAGGTATGGTATGCAGAATATCTAAAAGCTTTCATAGCTTATCATATTAGGGAGGTTGAGGCTTGCTTGGGTTATATAATGAAACCCTTGGAGGGATTTAAATATACATATCTGCAATTAGTGGCCAATAAGTACATTAAAAAATGTTTAACCTTGATTACTAGGAAAGTACAAAGTAAAACCACAATGTGTTAAAAACTTCATACCTGAAAAGGGTGGCTATACAAAAAAAAGAAAGAAAGAAAGAAGAAGAAAAAAAAATGAGAACAAGAGTTGGAACCCCCATGTTGCTAGCAGGAATATAAAATAGAAATGGTATACCCACTATAGAAATTAGTCCAAAAGCAAAACAGGGTTATCCTATGACCCAGCAACATGTATCCTCAAGACAATTGGAAATGTATTTCAGACTTGAACATGCATGTTTATAGCCCCATTATTTGTAATATTCCCCAAGCAGAACTTAGTCAAATTTCCAACAATGGATGAGTAGATCAGCAGTATATGGTATATACTATATATAACAATTTTCAGTTATAAAAAGGAATGAAATAGTAGGGGCTGGAAAGATAGCTCAGAGATTACAGAATACTTACTCTTGCAGAGGACCTGAGTTGGTCGTTCCCAGCACCCACATGGCCACTTACAACCACTACCCCAGGTCTCCCTGAGCACCAAGCACACATGTGATGCATATCGCATATGTGGAGACACATACTCATGAATTTAAAATAAATAAAATTTAGCAAAAAGGGATGAGGTAGTGATACATACTACAGTGTAGGTAAGTCTAAAAACAGTGCTCAAAGAAACAAACCAGACATAAAAAGCTATACCTTACAGGAACCCCTTCTCATGAGGGTTTGGGCTTTCAGTAGAGATCTAGAAAATTCAAATTCACAGAGGTGAAAACAGACTAGTAATTGACTGGTGTAGCAATAGGAATTAAGTGTAAAAGGCACAAGGTTTCTCAGACTATGGAAAGTGTCTTAGAGCAGGACTGGGGCTATAGCTGGAAACTTTGGTGTCTTAGTTTCTTTCCCTATTGCTCTGATAAAATACCCAGACAAAGTAACTTAAGGGAGAACGGGTTTGCTTTGGCTCAGAGTGGCAGGTTACAGTCCATCCTGATGGAGTCATAATGAATGGAGTTTGAAGGAGCTGGCTGCATCCCATCTAGCGATAGGGAACAATGAGTACATGCCTATTAGTACCTAGCTCATTTCCACTTACACAGCCTAGATCCTTCCCACAATTAAGATTACATCAGTTGATGTAATCAAGACAGTCCTCACATGCTATCTTAGCTATGTTTCTGTCACTGATAAAATACCATGACCAAAGCATTTAGTTAGGCTTATGGTTTAGGGTGGTAGAGTCTGTGATGATGGAGCAAAGATGGTGTCAGGAGAGAGCTGAGGCTTACATTTTAAACCACAAATTGGAAGCAGAGAGAGCTACCTGGGAATGGACTCCATTGAAACTTCAAACCCCAACTCCCAGTGAGACACATCCCCCAACAAAGCCACACTTCCTAATCCTTCCCAAACAATTCTACCAACTGGGGACCATTCTCATTCAAATTACTACACATATCTAGAGATCTGTCTCTCAGGTGATTGTATATTCTTTCAAGTTGCTAATACTATCCATCACATTGTTAAATTTACTACAAGTTAATGTTGCATATGCCTTTATGATATATGGATTACTTCTCAGTAAAACTGTATAACAAAGGAGAAACTTGGGCAAAAGTTATAATGACTGGTGAAGTAATTTCTACCTACATTTTCTGCTGAAGTTTAACTTGGCTTCTACTTAAGATTTTCCTTTAATGAAGTTGATCTTGGTAGAACTGCAACAGCCATAAACATTGGCTTTACTTTCTTTTCCCAACTCAGGTGCTGATATTTCCAATGTATGCAATGAAGCAGCACTGATTGCTGCCCGCCATCTTAGCCCTTCTGTCCAGGAGCAGCACTTTGAGAAAGCAATCGAGAGGGTCATTGGAGGTAAGCCCACATCCCCTGGGAAGGGACAGACATTTTTTGGATAGCCCAGCCTCACTTCAGCATGTAGAAAACCACAACTGTTTTTTTTTTTTTTTTTTTTTTTTGAACCAAAATTTAGAACTAGGGCTGTTCTAGGAGTTTTCACTCCCTTCTAAATTGTATGCAAGCCATTTGTAGGCCTTGGGAAACCAGAGCTAAGCTTGGGTGTTGGAGACAGGCAAAGTCTACTTGGAGAGAGGAAGAGCAGAGCTTGGATGAATGATATTTCCAAGGAAATTCGTGTGTTAGGCAGGGCTCATCCCAGGACGTCTACTGCTCGAGCTCTTTTGGGACAGCGCTGTTAAAGGAATGAATGTTATGTGTTTTTTTCAGCTCAGTCTTCAGTCTACACCAGCATACAGGTCACCTGGGTAGTTCATATAGAAACCTGGAGCAGTTCAGCTAGCTGTACTAGCCAGGCAGGAATTGGAGTTTGGTGAATTAAGGGTGTCATAGGCTTCTGAGACTGAGAGGTACTACATACTGCTGTTGGCATGTCTGGTGTGGTTCTGGGAGAGGAGGATCAGGCAGATGGTAGTGTAGATCCATCCATGTGCCAAAAACTGAAGTTTATCCAGGTTGGCCATCATCCTTAGGCTTCATTAATGACATTTTATTTTTAATGTTTAACTGTATAGAGTATATAAATCTTGAGGGCTGTCCCAGTGGCTCTAATTAGTTAATTAATTAATCCTTGCAGTGGCAGTCTGAACAGCTCAACACATGTTATCCGCTTCTCTTGGTCCTGTACCTGTTCTAAGTGTGCTAATTGGACATTGAGAACATTCCTGTTGCTTCTTGACACATGGCAGAAAGTAGCCCTGTACTTCTGACTCATAAGTTCATTGACTGACAGTGGCTTGCTTTAAAACAAACAAACAAAAAAAAGTTTTTTAGATTTAATTTATTTTTATGTGTATGGGTATTTTGCTTGTTTGTCTGTGTACTACATGTGTACAGTGCCCATAGAGTCCAAAAGAGGGTGTCATGCTGGGTGATGGTGACATACACCTTTAATCTCATTACTTTCATGGCAAGGCAGAGGCAGTTGGATCTCTGAATTTGAAGCTAGTGTGGTCTACAGAGTGAGTTATAGGACAGCCAGGACTAGACAGAGAAACCTTATCTTGGGCATGGTGGGGAGGGTGTTAGATCCCTTTGGAACTAAAGTTACACATGGTTATTAGCTGCCATATCCGTGCTGGGAATCAAACCCTGGTCTTCTAGAAGAACCTGCTAAGCCATCTCTCCAGCTCTAAAAATGGCTTTCTCAGGCAGGATGAGTCATGTTTGGTCACAGTGGATGAATGGGGTCCCTCCAGTGCTGGGAGATAGGTTTCACTACAGAGCAGAGAGTAGGATGGAGTTGTTGCTCAGGGGAAGACTGTCTGATATAGAGGGAGGGACAGGTTCCTGACAAGGCCTTGGAATGGGATATAGCAGTCAATCCAGACTATTCGGTGCCCTTGGGGGTTTTTAGGTGAACATTCTTCCCCTGTTTCTCACTCCTTGGAATGTGGTTTGTAGGCCTTGAGAAGAAGACCCAGGTCCTACAACCCAATGAAAAGACAACTGTAGCCTACCATGAGGCTGGGCATGCAGTGGTGGGCTGGTTCTTGGAACATGCAGACCCTCTGCTGAAGGTCAGTTTCTCAAGCTGAGTGAGTCTGCTGATGGGCTTGGCAGCCTCTAGGCCCAAGAGCCATCTCTGGCCTTCTAGGTGTCAGCATACTCATAGACATGGCCCTTTTACTTTCCTTTCTCTGTTTTTTAAGAGAGAGAGAGAGAGAGAGAGAGAGAGAGAGAGAGAGAGAGAGAGAGAGGAGAGAGAGTGTGTTTACATGTATGGTGGTCAGAGATGGGAGCCAGTTTCCTCCTCCTATATGGGTTCTGGGGATTAAACTCAAGTCATAAGCCTTGGTGGTAAGTGCCTTTACCATCTGAGCCATCGTACTTTTCAAGAAAAATGTTGGTGTATAATTTGTCTGGTTCCTTGAATGGGGAAGCAGAGCAGGAGGCATTGGCTCTGAATGAGGCCTTCTTTAAGTCTTAAGCTTTGGGTCTGACTCTTGTCAGAGTAATTGTGCAATCAGTGTCTGCAGAGCCTCTTAGGACAGTCAGAAACTGAGGCTGTTGGTGTGGGTTACTCCTCAAGGTAACTCCATTGGTCTATAGTGGCTCAAGCTTAGGGCTCTTATCCTGCCTCCCTCAGGCATAGGGGACCATGGCCAGTGCAGCACCTGGTGGAACAGTATTTGAGGCTGACAAAGACAAGGCTTTGGCATTTTTTTTTAAAGATTAATTTGAATTTTTTTTAAAGATTTATGTGTATGAGTGTTTGCCTGCATGTTTATGTGCACTTCAGCAGAACAGTGTCAGATGTCCTAGAACTCAGCCTATGGAGTTACTGGTGGTTGTGAGCCACTTCTGGGTGCCAGGAACTGAACTTGGGTCCATTTAAGTTGTGTGTGTGTGTTGTATAGGGTTGTACACATGAATGCAGTCCTCACAAGAGTCCTGAAGGTGGGCGGGGTGCGCATCTGATAGGGGCTATAGTTAAGTTACAGATGGTTGTGAGCCATTATGTGGTGATGGGAACTGAACCTGGGTCCATTTGTTGCAAAATTAACAAATGCTCTTAACTGTTAGCCATTTCTCCAGCCTCTAGTGTGTGTGTGTGTAGGGTTGCACACATGACTGCAGTCCTCACAGAGTCCTGCACTGGGATAAGAGGGCATCTGATCTGGGGTTGGAGTTACAAGATGGTTGTAAGCCACCCAGTGTGAGTGCTGGGAACTGAATTTGGTTGTTCTGCAAGAGCAATACATGCTCTTAACCACTGACCCATTTCTACAGCTTCAGGCTCTTATTTTTCAGGTGTCCATCATACCTAGGGGCAAGGGGCTTGGCTATGCCCAGTACCTTCCCCGTGAGCAGTACCTCTACACACGGGAGCAGCTCTTCGACCGCATGTGTATGATGCTAGGGGGTAGGGTGGCTGAGCAGCTATTCTTTGGTCAAATCACTACAGGAGCTCAGGATGATCTGAGGAAAGTCACCCAGAGTGCCTATGCCCAGGTAAGGAGCAGTGTCCTAGTGTATGACCCTGTTGGTTGTATTGGACACAACTAACCCTAGTTTCCTCCTGTACTTCAGATTGTGCAGTTTGGAATGAGTGAGAAGCTGGGCCAGGTATCCTTTGACCTCCCCAGACAAGGTGAAACCATGGTGGAGAAGCCATATAGTGAAGCAACTGCCCAGCTCATTGATGAGGAGGTCCGGCGCCTGGTCAGGTCTGCCTATGATCGGACCCTGGAGCTGCTGACGCAGTGCCGGGAACAGGTAGAGAAGGTGAGTGGATGCCCCGCTCAGATAGCCAGGTTGTGGGTCCCAGGTTGGGATATATATGGTCAGGCCATGCTGATCTTTGTGGTTATGTCCTAGATCTTTAGGTTATGTCCTAGACCAGGACCACTAGTACATCCCTGTCCTGGGCACAGCAGCCTAATGGGCGGTTATCCTTTTCAGGTGAGCAGGCGACTCTTGGAGAAAGAAGTGCTGGAGAAGGCCGACATGATAGAGCTTTTGGGCCCTCGGCCCTTTGCAGAGAAGTCTACCTATGAGGAGTTTGTAGAGGGCACCGGCAGCCTAGAGGAGGACACATCTCTTCCTGAGGGGCTGAAAGACTGGAATCAGGGACAGGAGGAAGGAGGCACTGAGCGGTGCTTACAGGAGAGCCCTGCATAGCCATGGCCTGTGGGTGGCCGCCTGTGACCACTGTTGACTGGGAGCTGCTTAGCCTTTGCAGAACAGCTGTCAGAGTAACGAAAACTAATTAAAACAGGTGACAACTGCAAACAAATGTTTTAGGTAAGACCATTCAGGAATCCACAGAAGAGGCGCTAGGACTTGGCAGCATTCAGCCAAGGCAATAACTAAGGGATCAAAGGTGTGGCCTGAGGTCACAGGTCCTGGACCTAGAGGTCTGTCAGTTCAGATAGGAGAAGGAGTTGGACACTGGCTTCCATGAAGCCATGAGAGCTGTCTTTTTGGGGATTCGATGTGTAGGGCCATTAGCTACATCACGCTTCCAGTAGACACAGAACCAATTCAGTTTTCAAGTATGCTGCTGCCTTATAGCTTGCCTCTGAGGTAATTGCTCAGAGGATGAATGAGCCTTGGCCCAACACAAATAAAGTTTGGTGAAAAATTAATGAAAATGTAAGCCAGTAATCAAGGGAAGGTTAGGTTCTTAAGCTGATCAGACTTAGGAAAGAAAGCCAGCACACCTGCAGATCTCTGGCTAAGGAGAGGAAGAGTGTGGTACATTCCTGGACTTGGTGGCAGAATCAGAAATTTTATTAGACATCTAGCCTTGGGAATTGTCTGTTTCACTGATAAAGTGTCAAATTTCATTCCACTTTACAGTAGTCCTTTCCCCAGCACCCCTTCCTCCTTTTTAAATCTCTATAAGGGTTGTCTTGGTCTGAACCCTCTGGCTCTGGTGCCTATTTATCAACCATTTTGTTGTAGGACAGCTCTTGAGTAAAGGAAGGGCTTTGTAACTTCCAAGCCTCCTTGGGTTAAGAGGCATCTTTTTCTTGTTGCTCTGGGGTGTGGTGCAGCTTGCACTTGAGACCTTAATAATGCTTGGAGTCCTGAGGTTCCATGAGTGTGTATACTTCCTCCAGGACTCTCTGGGATCACAGATCTCAGAGCTGTACCATCAGCTGCATCAGCCAACTGTTCAAGTCTTCTCATGGCCCTGGGGAGGAATACATTTGCTCCCTTGACTTTTTAAAAGTTTTAAAAGTTTTGTATGTATGCCTACAGGTGTTCATGTATACATATGCATGTATACATATGCCAAAGGTTAACATAGTATGCCTTCCTCAGTTGCTTTCTATCTTACATTTTTTTTTCCATTTATTTAGTTGTGCTTGTGTCTGTACATGCATGTCCACAAACACATATACACCATGGTACACATGGGTATGTCAGAGGACAACTTCTGAGAGTCATTTCTCTCCTTCAACTGTGTGGGTTCTAACAACCATTAGGCTTGGCAGAAAGTGCCTTTACCACTGAGCCATCTTGCCAGCCAGCCATCTTGTTTTGTGAGATGGGATCTCTTATTGAATCTGGCTAGATTTGCAGGCCAGCAAGCTCTAGGGATCCTCTCGTCTCTGCCTTCCCTTACAGGCATACCTTTATGCCTGGCTTTTATGTGGATGATGGGGAACTGTTCTTACATTTTCATGCTTGTGCAGCAAGAACTTTAGCAACTGTAAACTCTCTCTCTGCAGCCCTTTAACCGATGTTGACAGGCTTTCTGGGTGACTAGTCAGGAGGGTGGAGACCTGCTCTCTGCCTTAAACTTTTTTGTCCTTACCTTTTCTTTGGGGCCTGGTTAAAGACCAGACATACTGGATGTACATAGTATAGTACATTTTCTAAATTGTGTTTGCCTCAGAGCCTCAGTAACAGAAATTTTATCGGGGGACAGATACTTTCAACTTTTGCTGTTTGTAAAATGTACATTATTGAATTTTAAAAAATGTTTCTTTCATTTCTAATTGTGTGCATATGGGAGTTTTGGCTGCATGTATATATATGCATCATGTGTGTGCGGTACCTGTCGGATCCTCTGGAGCTGGAGCTATATATAGGCAGTTGTGAGCCACTATGTGATTGCTGGGAATTGAACCTAGGTCCTCTGGAAGAGCAGCAACTGCTGAGCCATCTCTCCAGCCCCATATTATTGAATTTTTTAAATCTTCAGGGCTTAACCTATATCATGCTGTCAACCAAACCATTATTCACTGAGCTACTTAGGGTCCTGGAGGTCTTGTATTAAGGTCCCAGAAGGCCTGTGACATTATAGGCACAGGCAGACTCTAGGGTCAGTGTTGTCAGGGTTATTTGCAGTTGCTACTTTGGCATATCTGTGGGACTCTTTCCAAAGTCACGGACCAGTGGTGGGATAGGGTGGGTGGCTGGGTTGTCTTCCCTGGGCTGCTCCTGTGTCAGATCTACAGTGTCAGGTTCTGCCATCAGAGCATGCGAGAAGCTGTGGGGGATGGTGGAGCTGGTCAGTGGGATGTGGAGAATAGGCAGCATATGCTTCTGGAAGACTGGAATTACCACTGACCTTAATCACTACTTCCCTTTGAGAAGATCTGGGAGCAGGGATCCTGTATATCACAGATCCTGAGGTGGTCAGCATACTTCTAACCATACTTGGGCTGCACCTCCCATTCTAGTCTGTCTGTGTCCCCACGGAGGTTTGCCACCCCATACATTCACCTTGTTTGATCCAGGTATCTCCCCGTATTCTGTCTCTCGTAAGTTTCTGGTTAAAGAGCTATACCATCCTCTTGCTCTGCTGGTACCTTATCAGTGGAATCCATTTTCCTGTGTATTTTATGTGACTTACGGGGGTGTGCCACAGCACTCCATTTCTAGACAGCAGAACAAGTAACACTGTATTGGTGCTGCTCTACCTGCCATGGAAACCTGAAAGTCTACTAGCAGGTAAAGGCCAGCAAAAGTATGAACCAGCATCCTTCCTTGCTCAGAACTAAGAGCAACTAACATTGGCAGAGATTCTCACTGCCTGCCTCCCATTGAGGAAAGGGGGAAGGGACATGGATGTTTAGAATGTGTCGGATATCACACCATGCCCAGAAAATGTGCACAGTAGACCTGGCTGCCAACAAGAATACCTGAGGTGACTGCCTGTGTGGAAAGTCCTGGCTGGCTTCGTCATCACCTCATTCCACTGGTTAATTTAACAGCAAGGTTTGGGCTTCTCTGTGGCTTCTGGGCAGAGTGCTCCTTCAGCTCAGGCCCACAGGATTTTATTTCTTAGCGATTCCTTTTGCTGTATTACTTTAAGGAGTAGAAATCCAGGGCACTTGCCCTTAAAATGCAACTCAAATAAGGACAGCCTAGAACAGCACAGCAGAGTCCCATTGGCACTTTGATATCAGCTAGAAGGACCACTGGTCCAAAGATGGTGATACTTTAATCCCACTCAGTAACTGTGCCCCGAGGAAGCTGTAGCAGGAAGAGTGGATGATGGGGGTAAGACCCTGGTAGGTTGGAGTGTGGCCAAGGGGACATGGCTACCATGAGATTAAAAGGCAGCTGCTGGGTTGTGTTCTTTGGAAACCAGGGTTGGTTTTCATTTCAGGAGACAGGCAGAAATAACCCACATTTAGGGGTCAACAGTGCAGAGGCAGAGTGGCTCTGATGTGGAAGCATCCTGGATCGTGCTCAGCCCCCCTCCCCCCAGAAGCAGCCCAGGACATTTTTCCCCAGTAGCATTCACTGCAAATGTGCAAAAGAAGATCAAAAGTCTTTTCTTTCTTAGAAGACAGTGGGCAGCAGGGCAGGTTGGCCTGGGGACAAAAAGCAAGTAAACCTTTATTTTAAGACCAGTCTTTGATCATGGTCAGAGCAGCAGTCTGTTTTGTCTTTGAGCACATGAAAGTAGTGTTGAGCGCATCTAAACTTAGAGTCCAACATCTCATAGCAGAGTGGGTGGCTAGATTGGCCCTGCCTCCCCTGCACTGCTCCTGAGAGAAATCCACAGTGTTAGCCTCCCAACTGAGCATCTGACAGGCTATGTAGGTGGTTGAGCTAGACAATGGGATGTGGAGGATAGGTACAGTATATGCCCTTGTGACAGGAATGGGGAGACAGTACTCTGTCCCTCTGAGCAATCTGGGAGTTGTCACTGAGGTTTGGTGTTCTGAAGTAAGGAAGACATGGGGTAATTTGTCAGCCTTTGAGCTATCACATCCACAGACAAAGAGAAGCAAGCCTGGGGAGGAGACTGAAAACAGTGGTACCTGCCCAAGACAGAAGAAGGGTGCACATTTTGAGTCAAGGTGGAAATTTTAGGGAAATAACCTGTCCCAGCCACTTGGCTAAGCAACAGAGCTAGCCCATGACTGACCACCAAATCTACTTTGGGCTTAGGAGCTCACTGCGGTTGGATATATACACCCCTCCAGGTTCCTGGGCAGCTCTCTTGGGCTTGGATCCCCATACCTTGAACCTACTTGGAATCTCACAAGAGACAAAATGTCGTCCTAGAGATGGGTTTTTAGAAGACAGAGGCCACCATTACCCACTCCATTCCTCCTCTCATCCCAAGGCAAGAGATTCCATACAGTGTCATCCCTGATTCAGGGTCCAGGAACCAGCTGGACCTAAGGCCACTGGGCTGTGCTTGTGCTGGGGTGCCCAGAGGCCTGTGCCTGGCACCTAGACTTTGACCCGTTGTCAGTTGACGGCTGGAGTCTCGGGAGTCGACAGAGTGCTTCTTTTGTTTCGGTAGGGTCCTGATTTGCCATCATGGTGGTCTGGCCCAGTCCTTCAGCAACTCTGGAACAGATGGAGTTGGGCTAATCTTCCTTGGGCCCCTCTACAGTGAGGAACGAGTCCATAACTGTGCCTTTCCGTTCTGGGTCGTTTGAGGGCTGTTTCTCACGGTTCTGCTCTGCCCTTGCTTTTGTCCAGGATGGGGAGCGTAGGCAGCCAGCTCGAGATAGTGGGTGCAGACCTGGTAAGAAAGCAGTCTAGACTTCAGTAAAATGGGTGGGGTGGTGGGGTGGCTGAAGCTCTACAATGGCTCTGCCAGTCTTGATGTGGCTTCTGGATGTATATATGCTTTCTTGGTGTCTGACACTGTACTGAAGATTTTATATGATGGACAAGGGCTTTTCTGATGCCCCTAGGAGTCACTAGACTCAAGGCTAAGTTTTTTTGTTTTGTTTTGTTTTTTGTTTATTTGGTTTTTTTTTTTTTTTTTTTTTTTTTTTTTTGGAGACAGGGTCTTACTATGTAGCTTTGGCTAGACAGGAACTTACCACATAGCCTAGGCTGGCCTCAAGCTCAGAGATCCACCTGCCTCTGCTTTCCCTGAGTACTGAAATTAAAGCCATGTACCACTCACTATGCCTGGCTCAACTTAAGTCTTGAAACCATCTACCCTATCCCCTATGTGATCCTGTTAGGATGCTGCCAAAGCTTTGCCTTCCTAAGTGGCTTAGTACAGCTTGTTGCCCTGCAGGCCTGATAGTCTCCTCTCCAGGGTGCAGGCTGTATGGGGCTAGAGACACAGTTGGGATGGAGTTGAGCTTCCCACTCTACTTGTCCAGCCACAGCTGCCACGGGCATTCCTGGTTCAACACACACAAGCAGGCTTGAGGGGAAGGTAGAACTAAGGAGGGATGCCACTAGTGTCAGGCAGAGCCTCCATTTTGTAGGAGAGATGGGACAAGAAAACATTCAAGGTGGAGCCAGGGATCTCCTTCATGTGGTGTCCTACTCAGAGCCCACGGCTCCTGATATATGTAAGCCACACCACCAACCTCCATGTGAGCAGCTAATCTGCAGAGCCTCACTGGGCTGGTGGTGTTTTAATAAGGATGGTGACTTCCTAGCATTTGGGGGCCAGACAAAAAAGTGGGTCTCTGAGTTTAAGGGCAACAGGCTACATGGTGAGGCCTTGTCTCAAAAGTGAGAAAGGGCGGCACTGACTTTAATGAGGCCTTGGTGCATGGTATAGGTCTTCTCTCAGGTCTTGTGTGCTTGTTTTGACCTGGGGTGGGAGAAGCTGAAGCTGGTTGGGGGTGGGGCTCATCTCCTTCACAGCACAAAGTGCACAGCTGAAGGTCACAGCATCTTTTTTTGCTTGTTTTTTTTTTTTTTTTTTTTTTTTTCCGAGACAGTGTTTCTCTGTGGCTTTGGAGGCTGTCCTGGAACTAGCTCTTGTAGACCAAGCTGGTCTCCAACTCTCAGAGATCCGATGGTCTCTGCCTCCTGAGTGCTGGGATTAAAGGTGTGTGCCACCAACATCCGGCTCACGTTGGTATCTTTTTTTAAACATGTTGGAATACCAGGTATGGTGGTGACTTGTAATCCTAATGCTTGGGAGGTAGAGGCAGTTGGATCTTTGGAGTTTGAGGCCACCTTGGTCTACAAAGAGAGGTCAACCAGGGGCTACATAATGAGGCCAACCATGTCTTTTGTTTGTTTTTATTTTTCTAGACAGGGTTTCACTGTGTAGTTCTGGCTGTCCTAGAATTTACTGGGTAGAACAGATGACCTTAAACTCAGAGATCTGCCTGCCTCTGCCTCCTGAGTGCTGGGATTGAAGATATGCTCCACCACTGCAGTGAGACCATGTCTTTAAAAAAATAAATCAGCACTTTATTTCTACAAGCCAGGAATTGGAAGCAGGCAGATCTGAGTTTGAGGTCAGCCTAGTCTACATAGTAAATTCAAGTCTACAGAGAAATCCTGTGTAGAAAAACCAAAAGTTTTTTTCTCTTCTTTTAAATTGGAGACTGAAGGCTTTGTCCCCGGTAAGGATTTGTGGCAAACCCTATGTTCTGGCTATAAGGATTGGAACATACCCTGCTGGCATGTGGTTCAGGAGAGGGTGGGAAGATGGTGAGGCTGCAGTCTCACCCACATACCCAGCCCCAGATAGCAGCACCCTTCCTCTCCAGAGGTTTAGCCTGTCAGGTGATCTGTGGAGGGGCCCAGGTTGGTGAATGTC